CCCCCCCCCCCCCCCATTAAGTTTATATTTATTTCACTTGAGGCCGCGCGTGCTTGTTCCCCTAATGTATTGTTGCATAATGACAAAAGCTGTTTGATTAGCGAACCGATAGTAGGCAATTTTATGAACGAAAAAATGTCCGAATCAAGTTCGTTGACGCTTCGTTGACGTCGATAAAAATCGAAACTTTTCACTTGCGAAGTAATTGTATGGAAAATCAGGTAAGTGGGTGGAGGGGCACTATCGGAAAAATTTATAATAATACATGAATCGAAGGCTTCAAAATTTATACTAAATTTAAAAATTATATACATAATCATATGTAGATGAACCAACCATAAGTACATTTTTTATGGCTTTTCATTACAAAATAGTCAATCATGATAAAAAAATAAAAAATTCTATTTAATTTTTTCTAGTTTTCTTGGGATAAAATCTATTTTTTCATTTAAATGACGGTCCCCTCTCGCCACTTGTGTAATCTTTACAACCGTAATGAATTGTTTCTTGATGTTTGAGCAAATTCCATTTGTGTCCAAATACCATCTCGCACTCATCGCATCCGAAATCTTTCCGATCTTCATGAACGATTTTCTGGTGTCTGATCAAAATCGACTTTGTTCCAAATTTCTTCTCGCATTTATCGCATGCGAAATCTTTGCGACCCTCATGGACTATTTTTTGGTGCAACAGCAAAGTTTGTTTTTGTCCAAATTTCTTCTGGCACTTGTAGCATGCAAAATCTTTGCGATCTTCGTGGACTGTTTTTTGGTGCCGGAACAAATCTGATTTTTGTCCAAATTTCTTTTCACATTGGTCACACGGGTAATCGTTGCGATCTTCGTGTATTGTTCTTTGGTGAAAAAGCAAAGTAGACTTTTGTCCAAATTTCTTCTTGCACATGTCACAGGCGAAATCTTTACGACCCTCATGTACAGTCCGTTTATGGCTGAGCAAATTCGATTTTTCTCCAAATTTTTTCTCACACTTGTCACATGCGAAATCTTTCCTACCTTCGTGTACTATCTTTTGGTGTTTGAATAGATTCGATTTACTTCCGAATTTCCTCTCGCACATATCGCATTCAAAATCTTTACGACCATCATGTACTGTTTTTTGGTGTAAAAGCAAACTCGACTTGTGTGTAAATTTTTTCTCGCACTTATCGCACGCAAAATCTTTTCGACCTTCGTGTACTGTTTTGTGATGCACGAGCAAATGATGTTTATGTACGAAGGTCTTCTCGCACTTGTCGCAGTTGTAATCTTTGCGACTTCCGTGAACGATCTTTTGGTGCCAAAGCATACTCCATATTTGTCCAAATTTTCTCTCGCATCGGTTACATCCGTAATTTTTGAGAAATCTATGCACCGTATTTTGGTGTTTGATCAAATTGATTTCACTTCCAAAACTGTTTTTGGAATTGTCATTTGCGCAATCTTCTTCCCAATTATTCCCATCTTTTTGTATACTGTAAATTATGTTATTGGGCTGAATCATTCTTGAATTTCTTTCTGAATATCTTCTAAAATATTAAACAAACGTATTTTCCGTTGGCTGAACAACTATGTCGTACTTGTTTAACCTGTTGGGCTAACTGTAGGTCAGAATACTAAGAAAATTGAATGAATTAAATTTTTCCGTTGATACTATGTAGAGTATTATCCATGGAAGAAACTATCAAACTGATTTAATTATGAATTAAAATTTTCAGCTATTAGAGGACGTTGTTGAAATTGCTTACTGGTATTGTTTACATTAAGACAAATTTTTCTCTATTATATATTGCTCAGATATCTTTAATAACTTTCTCTATGCTATAAACAAATTTTTCATATTCAGAGCCCTTGTTTGGTTCTTATTGAAAATTTTCTGTCTTGATTTTCATGGATTCAAATTAAATGATAATTTTGGCCACAACTTCACTTCCATAAGGAATTTTTTTCAGTCAATTTTCCTTTGTCTCCGTGTAAAATCACTGTTGAAGCATGAATTTTTAAATTGTACAATAAACTGAAAAAATTGATTTCTCGTTTCAAAAATTTTTTTTAGCTATCAGTTTTTCGAATTTCGTATTGTAAATACAATATAATAAAGAAATCAGCTAGCTCAACTATAACAATGAATTTTAGTCAAAATAAAACATTTAGGTTTTGTAAAAAAGTATTTATGCCCCATTTTTCAATTTTTGGTAAGTGAAGCATTCAATTACGATTTTTACGGTCACTCTGGTGGAAATTTATTATAGTACCGGAGTCAAAGGCTTAAAAAAATTGAAAAATGTGAAAATATTTTATACACTATCGCAAATGGAATTCTGTTAAAAATTTCTCTGAGTTTTCAGGGGTAAAATCTATTTTTATCCAAATATCTCTCCAGTCTTGTCACTTGAGTAATCATTGCAAACGTCATGAATTATTTCATGATGTCTGAGAAAGTCGAGTTTTGTCCAAATATTTCCTCCCCCTTATTGCATGCGGGATCATTGCGAACTTCGTGAACGTTTTTACGGTGTCTGATCAAATCAGACTTTTTTCCAAATTTCTTTTCGCACTTGTCGCATGCATAATCTCTTCGACGGTCGTGTACTGTCTTTTGATGCTTAAACAAATTGGATTTTTGTCCAAATTTCTTTTCACAAATGTTGCATGCGTAATCTTTCCGCCCTTCGTGGATTGCCCTCTGGTGTCTTATCAAATCCGATTTTTGCCCAAATTTTTTCTCACATTTGTCGCACTCGTAATCTTTATGACCTCCGTGTACCATCTTTTGGTGAAAGAGCAAAAGCCTTTTATATCCAAATTTTTTTTCGCACGTGTCGCATGCAAAATCTTTGTGACAGTCGTGTACTGTCTTTTGATGCTTGAACAAATTGGATTTTTTTCCAAATTTCTTTTCGCACTTGTCGCATGTGAAATCTTGGAGACCACCGTGTAATGTTTTTTGGTGTAAAAGCAAACTCGATTTTTGTCCAAAGTTCTTCTCGCAACTGTCGCATGTGTAATCTTTGCGACCTTCGTGCACTGTCTTTACGTGTCTCATTAAATTGCTCTGATTCACGAATTTCGTCTCGCACTTGTCGCAAGTGTAATCTTTGCGACTTCCGTGAACGATCTTTTGGTGCCAAAGCATACTCCATATTTGTCCAAATTTTCTCTCGCATCGGTTACATCCGTAATTTTTGCGAAATCCGTGGAATATTTCTTGATGTCTGAGCCAAAACGATTTTCGTTCAAATTTTTTTTCACATATTTTACATATCAAATCTTTCGAACTTCCGTAGGCATAGACCATATTTTGATGTTTGTTCAAATTGATTTCACTTTCAACCTTTTTTTCGCAAATCATTCTTAAATTTTTGTATGAATATCTTCTGAAATGTTACATGAACGTATTTCAATTCAGCTGAAAAACAGTGTGGTACTTGCTTAATCTATTTGCGCTAAATCTAATTCAATATACCGTAGAATTTTAATTAACAAAATTGGTTCGTGGATATTATGTAGTGTACTATGAATACAAGCAACACTCGTACTGATTTGATTGTTCAATTAAAATTTTCAGCTAGAATTCCGATCAATATTGTTTATAATAAGACACCGATAACTTTACAATTTAATAATAATCTAGGACTTTGCTTTGCTCCAGTGATTTGGAGTTAACACTTCATCGTTTTGTTCCTAACCAAAAGACTGAAAAGGCCAATGTATGAATATTCGTTGGAAATTCAATCTAATTCACAAATATATAAATGAAATTGTCCTACGATGCCTGTCCTGGTTCAAAATCTTGTTCTCGAGCCTATCACAGAGATTTCTTTGCAAGAAAACAAAAAATTGCTGTCACTGGTAACAACAGAATGAATTTTTTCGAAATTCATCCTCATCATAATCTACTATCCCGTTTTTGAAATGATGCCTCCCAGTGACACACGTAAACGCGCCCAGACATTTGTCGAGAATTCACTGCATGTTTACTCATAATGTAAAAAAATCATCCTACGACACCTCGTCCAAAGGTTCGAGCCTCCTCTGGGTAAAATTATCATTAGATAATCGCAATAACTGTATAAAATATAACGATATTGTTAAATCGTAGTTCTAGCGCTACATGGAAGGTATAAGAAAATAGTTTTTGACGTCAGAGTCAGCGTTGGCGGCGACGGTGGTCGAGAAGTGTCACAAAATTAGAAAGTATTCATCATAGAACTTTTAGAAATAAATATATGAAGGAACGTCATGTCATCAGTGCAGCGGTTTAATTCGAGATTCGATTCTCGATAAAACCATTCCAGGACAGTCTCATTTCATCAATTGAAGGAATAACTCATTCTTTTGGCTTTTCAAAACACAAGTATATATTTAATTTTTTTGTAGTAGTCATACTACGTTGATTTAAAAATCTACAATGAGTTTAGATAAGAATAAAGCGTTGAAACAAATTTTCTCGAAAAACGTATTCGTTTCAATCAGAGAAGAAAAAAAACAACAAACGTCGAATCGAAGCACACTTGGCAGCCAAAAAAAAAACAATTGTTGAATTTCATCTTTTTTTAACGAGCCACGTGTTGCATATCGAAAGAAATTTTCACATCGTGAATAATTCGCTTTAGAGCAGCTGCATTACGAAGTCAGTTATGAAATCGGCTGTTTTATTAAATACAAATTGATGATAAATCACGCGTTTTCTTCCTTTTTTAAATCAATATACGCAATATTTTGTGACAAGTAAAATCAATACTCGAGAGTCGCACGTGTTCTTCGATCGTTTTAATTAATAAAAATCGAATCGAGTATTCTATTTTTCATTACATCGAATATAATAAAGAAAACTATTTTATTTGTACGAATAACAATGTTCGAACTGAACTGCAGTCGTGTGCAGTTTGAGTTCACGAATAAAAAATTTATTCAGTAATAATTTTCTTGGGAAAGGAAGCGGCCTAACGCGCGCTTCTATCTATCATCACATTAAAATGCGACTATGCTTTGTTTACATTATCTAGAAACACGGCCCACGTAAGTTAACTATCAACAGACGACACACACACACACGTACATATCTTTTTGTCAACATTGTACAAATAGCTGCGAAAGGAAAATTTAGAGCGTAACTTCTGATATTACCCGTGACTCATTGTTTTCACCAAGTTTTTTTTTCACTGCTCTAAAGAACATCACGCGAGCTTTTAATAGCATTTCATCTGCCTTATAAATCAGGCGTATGATTGTATTTTGAAAGTATACGATTATTGACAAAATTTTTGGTATTTACAAACCTGTCCAAAATGTGTTCCTCCGGGCCCCTGGTGGCATGAAGGTATCGCGGCTTCTTGAAAAAATATACTCAATGCCGTCTGAAATATAAAAATAAAACATTTCATTTTTGGGTAATAAAAGCAGTGTGCTTTAAAGTGAAATAATTCGGGTTTGGAATCATTATCTAATATTTGAATCAATTTAAAAGTTCGATAAAATAATACCGAGTTCAAAATTTTACTCGTGTAAAAGACGCATAGAAAGATTATTTTGACTCTTGTTGATTTTTCAAAAGTCATTTTCAAGTAGTAATATTATTGAATTGTTATGACAGTATTAGAAAACAGTAAAATTCAGTTTTTTGCAGATTTTCAGTTTAAAATCTAGATCAAACGTCAATCTAGAGACGAAAAGTAAAATCCAAGTTATAAAAACAAATATTGCGTGCAATCAAAACATGTGTAAAAAAAGATGCTTTTGTAAACAAGACATAAATCTTTGAGTGGCATGATATCCGAAATCTGAATCTTTATACATCATCGTCCGGGCCGATTGTGTATTAACATTGCTGCCACCAAGTACGATAATGCAAAGATTTGAGAATTTTTTTTATTTTTAGACCGAAGTCTTTTTCTTTATCAATGCAAGCAAAGTATATAATACGACTTGAACATTGATTTGATATAATTTTTAATAAAAACCGTTATCAAAATTGTCACGATATAATAATCGTGTCTTGTTAGCAACATAAATGTTACACGAGCCGAAATAAAAACGATTCTAGATTGACTTATTCGATACACTTTTCAATGACGTATTTTCGATTCGAGATAGATATGGAATTTAAAATTATCTGCGCTCCATGGGAATCATTCATTTTCGTTCGAGGAGGAGATCTTTCTTTCTCGCCTACTGTTACAACTGACCCATTGACTGAACTATTTGTAAACACGTTGGCACGAGTTTTGAGATTCTAATCAAATGAGAGTGAAATTTCAAAAGCACACTTTCGATAGCTACGCGCCTTTTTCTCATGTGGATATTTCGATACAAAATCTATCTGCCTACGAAGTAAATGCACGAAATTCCCCAATAGAATCGTATATTTTACGAGGAAAAGACTCTTTGGCATTATCTTATGGTCGTCGCGCGTGGCAGAATCGTGTTATAATCCATCGAGTACGAGAGACAGAGCGACATTTGGCAACGTCGCCAAAACGAGCTTCGTTCTGACTATGCCTCTCTTTATTTTTCTTCTTCTTCTTTTTTTCTTTCGTCGTTGCCGAATGTGATACTTGCTTTGTATAATATACGCTTGTATAAATAAAGACGCACAAATGTGACGTATTGTACATTACGCTACAAATACGTATCCGATGAAAAAAATTCGCAGTACAGCCAAGTGTGTTGTGGGGGGGCTTGTTACATTAGAAATGATGATACCTGCATGTGCGTTGCGTTATATAAGTTGACGCAATTTGAGCCACACACACACACGCGCACGTATTTACAATTTCACGTAATATAATAATGATAAATTATGAAAATTACATCACGGCCGGTCTGTATAATATAGAAATACCAGATTTTTTACGGGAATTAATGATAGGAAAAATTTCGTCTCTCTTTCTCTCCGACTGTCATCTCTGACTCGCGAACCGACGCGCACGCGCGCGCGCATATAAATAACCACTAATTAATGTTCCTTTCTCTCTCTCTCTGTTTATATACGTGTATACGTTGCAACGTTGACAGCCACGTACGGGCGCGTGGATGACCTGCACCGACAGCGCAAAATGTTACAGCTTCGAACGATTGTAAAACTATATTATTAAATGTTTGCCATTTACTGCGGTGGCAAAATTTGTATTTTGATATTATTGAGAAGAAAGAATCACGCTATTTTGAGGTGAACGTATGTACTTAAACGTATATATCTTTATACACTCTGCTCGTGGATTATGACATGTCTGCTTATCGAAATTCGAGCACCATGGCAATGAGCTGTAGGCATTTGAAATGTTTACAACGAGCGTCAAGATAAAAAAAGTCCAATAATACCATTCGTATAAATTCGATACAATATATAAACGCACGGAACGAGTCTGCAGGGCAAAAATTCAAATAGCAATAGAGATAGATAGTAATTTTATATAGTTACACGAATAATAACGAGTCGAACATGCGCGCGTGACTGCAGACTGTCCTATTATTCTATCGCGCGCGCGCCTATGCTATATAGCAGGTCTGAAGGGCTTTTCTCGTGCGCGCAGTTGCCGTGCGTGCAGTTTCTATATGTATTCCAAGTACACGTAGGTAACATTTAGTACAGGGGGCTTGCAAGCGAGCGAGCAGAGCGCGAGAGCTGCCGTGCCGTGTCGTCGTCTCGTCTCTTGGCGATGGCTCGAGGCCAACTTTTCACAGCTACAGATATACAGCAGCAGCAGACATTCGTTCGCCTTTTTTCGCTGTGCCTCTTGACTATTTGAGACTCGAATAATTAATAATATCATCGCGCTCGAATCTCTGCCGCGAAAAACGCCGTTGGTGTACGAGCGAGACTCCGTTTCGGTGTTTTCAACGCGCGCGCGGGAAATTCCGCGGGCGTTCGCGCTCGCGCAACCGATCGAGTTCACAAAATAAAAAATGTAAAAATAAAATAAAACTCATAAATTTTGATCGACAGAAAAATAATTCTCGCAACAACGCGGAGATATAAATCACACACGTGTATAGACAGTCGAAGGTCTCGCACGCGTCGAAAATCTGCTTTTGTTTACGGAGGCACGTGTGCGGTATTCATGATATAGATTATAAAAGTCGGCGGGCTGCTCTTTCTCTCTCTCTTTCTCTCTCGGTCGCGCATGAATGAGAAAAGTCTCTCTCGCTCCGAATCCATCGTATGGCAAAACAATAATAAAAGCAGCAGCGCATAATATAATAGCTCGCTCATCGCTGCTGCTGTTGCTGCTGCTGCTGCTCGGCCGCGACAAGAAGAAGAAGAAGTGGCGGAAATGGCGCAGGCGCGAGTTTGACCCGGCAGTTCGCCGAGTGTATGTGTGTGTGTGTGTGTGTATATAGTTGTGCACTGTACACATACACTGCACACGAGTTGACCTTGCAGCAGCAGCAACAGCAGCAGCAGCAGCAGCATCGAGCGCATTTAGCATTGACTCGATCGCGCAAATCATATATACCAGCCGCAGCCGCGCAGGAGGGGAGACACAACGACGACTCGCGTTTATTATTATAGGCAGCCTCATCGTAATGCACGAGCGAAGGGTTGCAAGGCAGAGGCGTCTACTGCTTCTCTGTCATGGCAATGCAACACCACAATAGGCGAAGGTTGCCACCTTCCGTGTGTATACACATGATGAGCTGCGGAATGGCGAAGGTCGATATATATATATTATGTGCAGCCACAGCCGAGAGTACACTACCTGCCTATATTCCTTGAACGATTTTCTGGAGTACTTCTCTCGGCTTGCATACATTGGACTCGCTCGCGCATCGTCGTATTGCATGTACAGGAGGTGCACAGGTCTATAAGCTGCGTGAGCGATGCTCTCTCTCTCTCTGTTCCTTGTGTTGTTATGACGGCGCGCCGGGGGGGAGATACAGAGGGAGAGAGAGAGAAGCACACGAAACACGCACGCCTCGACACTCGTTGCTCTCGCTATACATGCCATTACCTCCTGCGCGCAGCTCGGTGTGTTTGTAAACAAGCTCCCGCTGCTGCACATCGAGGCACACCAGCAGCAGCCAGCTATACAGCACTCGACGCGCCGCGAGTCGAGCCCGCGATCTATATATATACACCTATATAATAGTAGGATGCGGCTGAGCTGCTCCGGCCTGCTGCACTCGCGTATACGTCGTCGTCGCGTATCCGCGTGCTATTTGTTGTGCGCGAGATGCGGAGCATAATATTATTATTCAATACACAGACGGAATCGACGCGCTGACGCAACCTGTGTGTGCGCGATCTCGCGTCTGTCTGTGTGCCTCTAGCTCGTGTCAAGGCTCTTTTTTCGCCGCCGATGCCGATGACTATTTTGTTATTTTGTTATTATTATTGTCGCGATGATGATGTTAATTTGCTGGACCCTGTTTCCATTTTGAACAGGGGGTTATACATTTTTGATTTTTCCTTTTGTCTACGCAACCGAGCGTGGCGAAAATTCGACTATTTCTACTGTACTATTGTTAGAACGAAGCGGCGAGCTGACGATATACGCTATACGCGATAATATACGCTCTGATCCAATATTTAAGCGATGATGAAAAAACTCGGCGTAATTCGTGTTGTCTCACGGCAGCTAAAACACACTACATTCGTCGTTGCAGCATGAGGCATTATAACTCATTGCTCCTACTATGCGTTATCTCGAATTTTCCATCGCGCTCGCGGAACGTGTGTGAGCGCGCGCGCGCCAGTGACGTAAAAAAATCAACAACAAAAAAAACAGTTGTCTAACAAAAGATTGATCTTTGAGAATCGTTGCGCGATTCGCGCGCTGTATGGACGATTAAAAAATTCGTGCGAGAGATAATCCGGCTTGTTTATGTGTTCAATTACGTATGTACACACGTACGTTCGAGGCATGATGAAACGCGTGTATAATATACTCTGTATATTTTTTCATGTTGCAAGACTATTTACGGACGAAATTTTGGGATTTTTCTATACGGCGATCGAAATAAATAATAGTGCGCATGTGTGTACGCTCGATTCGCGGCGCTAGCTGGGTGAAGTTTATTCTTTCTTGTCATGTGTGTGTACATTATATGATATTGAAGTATCAAACTAGGCGATCAACACGTGGACCTGCTTTTGTGATCGATGCAACCTTGAATTTTAACGCTGATACGCGCGATGTTACAACAATCGTCGAATAACTTTCTACCAGCCACCGTAAACTCGTGATAAATTCAAGCAAAGCGCGTAAAAAGTTGAATTTTATTGCACCAGCGACGCGCGCGCGCGTGTCTCTATTTATAATATCAAAAAAATATAATCGACGCTTCGAGAACGCTTATTTTTTTTCCGCGCCCAATATGCCATATTTAAACGAGAGACACAATGATAATGATACAAATGAAAGAAGAGAAAGAAAAAAAACGAGAGTACACGTGCGCGTTCGGCTTTCGATTCTCTCATCTCTCTCTGCAACGATCCGAGCTCGGTTTCTCGGTATTTAAAACTTTATCTCGGAACGCGCGCGTGTGTAAGGATTTTGTTTACCTTCTCGCTACGCAGTTGCGAGAAATTGCGGGCGGGTACGAGCAGCAGCAACGCGCATATCGTCCCAATAATTTACACTCGATACCATGAGCGAGAGATAGCATCGACGCGTGGGCGAGATCTCGCTAAATTAATAAACAATCACGGATTTATGTATACTACGTAGCGATACGAGGCAAAATCTCTGACGCACCGAGTCTCGGCGAGAGAGCGAGAGAAAGAGATTGCTCCCGAAAGAGATCTATAAAATAATACGCATCTCGTTGCTCCGGAATCAATTTCGGCTTGCGTCAGCCATTTTCTCCTATATGTGCTGAATATGTCTCACACGTGCCGAGCTTTTATATACGCCGTGTTATTTTTTTTCACCGAACACAACGCATCGGGCGATACATCACCGGAAGCGCGTCGAGATAATAAATAATTCGCCAAGAGTCAATCGAGCATCGAGGAAAAAAAGTATAATTAAATTATCAACAATTCACGAATTCAAGAATTCCATTAATTTTTTTCGTGATTCGTGAAATTAACATGGAAATTTTACGTTGTCATCGATTGTTTGCACATAGTTTTTTAACCAACTATTTTTGTTATTGTTTACGTTTTCAGCCAAATGTAAACAAAACACTACGATGCAAAAAATAGAGACACGTGCGCTAGTTGTAATGGCGTAATGGCAAACTTTTGTTTTTACAAGCAATGCGGATCGATGGAGGAAAGTCGCCGCCGCACGCGTGTGTGCGTATGCTCCATGTACTACGTTAACGCAATAAGCCATTATGCTATATTCGTAGCTCATTCGTAGTTTATGTATATATACACACGCCACGCGTTGAAAGTGTCAAAACACATACACAGATGAATTTGTGAAATACTTGGAAATATATTTCCAACGTACCCGTGCCATTAAATTTTTAACGTTCGTACATTCCACGTGATATTTGTCATTGGCATATAAATATTTCAACTCTCCTCTCTTTTTAGTCAATTTTGCGTGTAGTAGTGCCAATAAATATAAGTATATACGTGAAGTGGGTACTCTCAACATTCATAGATCGTCTACAAAAAAAAGTGATTCGTGTGCTGCGCTAGTATTATTAGAGTCGCGCACACGTACACACACGCGCGCGAGCGTGATCATGCACGCAGAGATAGAGAGACGATAGATAGAATAATAATACACAAAGAAAAATGATGTACTGACCTCGAATTGCCAATGCGCCGCCTGCAGTAACTGTTTTGCTTGCTCGCTGGCACAGCCGGCAGCCAGCATAAACTGGTTTATCATCACTTGTTCCCTCAGCGTATTATCCATGACGATGATGATGATGGTTCTTGTATCGCGTTGTCGTCGAGGGGGTTTTGTCTATATATCTTCGCAATTAAATAGTTTTTTCTTTCTTTCAAAGACGATGCGTGGCGACTGCAGAACTGCGACAACGATATATTTATAATACGTATACGGAGTTGCACACAATAGCACACGCGCGCACGACAACAACAATTGCCTCGCGGCAGCACACACGCCGAGAGAGAGAGAGCGTCAACAATAACAACAACAACAACAACAACGGAGAACGACAACAAATCGATATTATTAGATTCCTCTCGTCACTGCACTCGCACAGTCGCGTAGGCGTTTGTTATGTTTCTTTTGTTGCTTTCTTCTAATTCTCGAATAATAGAATCCTCGGTGCATCGACTGTGTGACACGAGCACGCGCGCACTTATCTGGCCTTTATATAATTAAATATTAAACTTGCACTTTTCAACTTGCACTCGACAACGACGATGCCTCGATTAATTGTTGCACACGCGCGAAAAACTCTCCTCTACTCTCTCGATGTTGTGTGTGTGTGTGTGTACTATGTTTTCTATCGTCGTTGTTATGCGTGCCGAGCGAACGACGAGACGACCTGCGATATACTACACAACGACGTGTTGTATGTATAGAGCTCACGTACATAAGTGTAAAAAAAGAGAGGGCAAAATGGCCGCGCCAGTGTCGGAAGCCGCGACTCCGACGACGACGACGACGACGACTACGACGACTACGACGACGACTGCGACGACGAGAAAGAGAGAGAGAGAGAGATTTAGTAAACAAACGCGCGCTGCTGCCGCATATAAACTCTCGGCACCAATAGTAAGCTGCTGCTGCTCTCTGCTGTTCTACTACTGCTGCCGCTGCCTCCGACTCGTTGTTGAATGATCAATCCTCTTTCGTAGCTCTCCTCTCTTTCTACCCTCTCTGCTATTGTTACGTATTATTATTACCGAGGAATCGAGCCTCCGCAGCGCTCGTCTCTTGTTTACGTTTGCAAAAAAAATACACCCACACACATGCACACGCGTACAACGACACACGCAACGATGGTCGTCGTCACAACGATGCACTGCACACACGGGTTCACGCACACAGTCACACGTGCACGTTACACGAGTATGTATACACGTTCTTATATTTAGTACACCAATGTATACTAGTCACACCTTATGTATTTGTATATATATTTTTATCACACGCGTGTACGTGTGTTATTATTGTACGATTATAACGAAGTCGAGCCAGAATAATGCCTCCGTCGCTGCCGAAAGGGAGACACGCACTGATCACTCTCGTCGCACGGCGGAATCGTGCACTCGCACTCCACCAACGGCACGCGTGTATATCTATATATTGCGCCTCTCTCTCTCTCTCTCTCGGTGTGTATATACACACACTGTTATTATTGTCTCTCGCTCTATATATGCCGCAGAGACAGAGAGAGAGTTGACTGATATAGGTGCGCGCGTCTGTGTGTATCTCACACACACACGTGCGTATCTTTAATACTTGTATACATGCACGCACACGCACACAATATCATGTGGCAGCAGCAGCAGCAGCACTGGTGGTGTCTACTGTCACAGCCTCATGCGAGGCACGTAACATGTATACGCGGTTATACACACATGGCACCCACAAGGCACACACATGTGTGTGCCGCTGCTGCGCTGTGTTATGTTTTTATTCGGCCGCATCGCGCGCATGTACACATGTATAGAGTCGCGGAGTACGCGTGTGTGTCTTGTGTAGACAGTACGAGATCTCCGAGTTTGCGCGTTCCAAGCGAGTTTGCGGCTTTATTATAGTACTACCTTATACTACTACTAATACTACTATGTGCAGCGCAGCAGCAGCAGCAGCAGCAACAGAGGCATATAGTAGCTGTCGGTGCAGACCTTACCGAGCACGGATTGCTGCCCCGCGTACGAGCCGCACATATATAGTACAAGACAACAACACATATATACACGAGATATACAATAATATAACACGCGAAGCAGCGGCGGCAGCAGCTCCGATGTTGCCGGTTACGCGACGACGACGACGACGACGACGATCGTCAGCAGCAGCAGCAGCAATTGTATTATTTATTTCTTTTCTCGCCTCCTCGGCCATGCGCGATGATGCCTCCGGTCGCTTCTTCTTCTTCGTCTTCTTCTTTATATTGTATTCTTGGGTTTCTCTGCTGTTATCGTGACAGAAGTGTATATTGTACGCCGCTACATACTCCCGCACACTCACATGCGGTCTCCCCCCCGCATGTATGCTTAGCTCGACCGCTGTGCGTGTGCGTTTTGATCGAACGTTACTGAAAAAATTGTTTTCGATTCTTATGTCACTTTATAACGACGGCATTTAAAATCGAACGTACGCACGCTACGATATACTTTTATGAAGCTTAGAAATGAAAAATCACGAGGAAAGATAAGAGGAAATATATATCATGTCCTATGATCGATGATAATTATCTAAGTGTATCGCCGCGCGCGCGGGCACGGATCGGAATCCCGCAGTGAATACATACGATCCAAGCGGAGTTAATTGATGGCGGTATAAAATTTAATTGGAGTAAAACTCCAACATTTATCGTATTGTATTCGAGAGCGTCGTGTGTACGAACGATCGAATTACGAATCGATGACCGTCACCTCGCGGTGAACGTGTACTGATTTCAGGCTTGAATTCGAATGTCTTGAACTCGAGCGTAGATAGCGATGCTTACCGATGACGATAGAAAAAATAATAATTAATTATTAAAACGTTACTTCTTCGTACTACCTGAGACGGAAGTAGAATTTTCGGCACTTCAGTGAAAGCATGAAGCTTTTTACTCTGAATCCGATAAAGTACGAAAAATAAAATGCAGAGTACAGAAAGAAATGACACAGAAAGCTTGATCAGATATTATTTACCTTTTTTACTATTTTCCATGACAATCGATATATTCGTTTTTTGTAATTAAAACTCCTATGCACGTAACAGTTGAAACAGTATTGCATTACTTTACCGATCGTAGGGGGAGCCACGGCACGATGTGTACAGCAGTAATGTCAAACTGCATACTCGTGTCATGTGCTGTGCCGGCGATTCGCAAAAGCGCATGCTACTCACGGACCACAGAAACACGTGTGTTCGGTGCTTCGAATCTTTAAATAACATAAATTTATGATTTGCGTGTAACGAGTGAAAAATTAGAGTGACCGAGTGTCGACGTTTCAGAATTTATTGACGGTAAAGCAAAACAAACCTCGGCGACAAGATGATCGAGTGCCACTATCAACACTGTGACAGAAAATATGTTGATTCAAGACGCGCCCGAGTTATGTTCCGATTTTTATAATCTTTGAGAATTAGTTTGTTCATGGGTGAGAAATAATATAATGGTTGTTTCATTGGTAAAAAAATAGAATGTTTATACACACTGTCATTTTTTACATTTATAATTCGTTACATTCTTATCATCTGTAGACAAAGATAAAATAAAATTTTATATTTACAAAGAGATTTATAATACTTTTACATTACTTACAATGTATGTTGTATATACTGCACTGAACTAAAAAAATTATACATTATTATTAGTTGTAAACGATATCAGTAAAATAGATTCAATTTACACAATCTACAAAAAAATATATATTGAACCTTACATTCACTCAATGTCTATATTATTTATGTAATATTTTATAAACTAAAAACATATTTCTTTGTCGTCGCAAGTTGCCTTTTTGAGAAACCCAGTTTAAAATAATTGAACACTTGTTATTTTACATTTTGTACCAGAATTTTTGTATGGATTTGATACACGTCACTCCAAATGCCACTTTATTTTATACATTGTGCATAAAGAAAAATATTTTAGGTCCCTGAAGAAGATTCACGCATTTCCATGGCAACTAACTATTCTTATGCTTTTTTCATAATATCATAATCGCTTAATGAACTTAACGTACTCTTTGTTTCTTTTTTAGACGAAGATAGCAAGAAAACGAGAAAAAAATTTTTCCAGATTTTTCAAGGCTTCGTATCGTCCTAAAAAAATTTTTTTCGTTAAAAAATGGGGTTTTTCGGCTCTAGACGTCAGAGTTCTCTCTGAAAAAATCTGAAAAAATTTGAGGTTATGTATTTTGATGCCAAATATGAGTGAAAAAAAAGATCGGGCTTTGCATTGCATCGTAGCGCCGTACATGAATTTTCAAACTTTTCAATGATTTTTTCTGAAGGCCTGAAGCACTCAAAAAATCTGAAAAAATTCAAGGTTGTTTGGATTGTGGAAAAGTATTTTCGTTTTTTTTTAGATTTTTTAATTGCTTCAGGCCTTCAGAAAAAATATAGATAGAACATGGACGTTTATAGGGGTGGAGGAGGGTAGTAGGGGGAGGGGGTCTAAAATTTTGGTTTTGGGACCTTTTTATCATGCACTATAACATACCAAAAGCGCGTCAAGATCGGTGACATACGAGCGCAGGTTTATTTAAAAAATTCTGAGCCTTTACCCCTATGTATAACGCAAACCACAGTCTGAAAGACTAACGATCCAACACGTGGGATCATCCGAGCATTTTCGCAACATCCGATTCCCCTCGTGAGAGATCGGTAAGCTTTGGTCATCCGATTCCCCTCGTAAGAGATCGGTAAGCTTTGGTCACCGCTGCGATTAATTACTAATCTCGTATTATTATATTAATATCTTAGCTAAACTGTACATTATTACTCATGAGGAACCTATTTGCTAGTTTATTAAAATATAAGACCATTCGTTTGAAGACGAGTTTAACTGACAAATGTACACGCGTGCGTGAAAGTCTATTTACAAGTTTTAACGCGTTAATCAAAATTTCCTTCATAACCACCCTCGGGAAAAAATAATCTTGATGATTGCGAGACATTTTTACCGAAATATTATTATAGTATATATCATCGTTACGGTGATGTTTTGTCGAGGCATCGTTGTATTGCAGTGTTGCGTATAAACATTAAAAAAAAAAAAAAAACAATTTCATTAAATCGATCACTCGTTGTTTCACCAAAAAGGGGAAATCTATACAGTGTCGGAAAAATCAATAACGCTACTTTATTTCTTAATTATTTATAAATATGTACATTTTCAGTAGAGAGTCTGTAAAGAATTATTCAGATTTTTTAGTAAGTTAACTTGCGCGAAAAGCGAACACGAATTTTCTTTCTGCGATAATAAAAGTCGTGCTAAAAAAATCAGAAAGCGAGAAAAACATTACAATCCGATATAGCCCAAAACCTATTTTTCGAAGTAACGCATCATAAATTAAAATTCACTTGGAAGTTAAAGTGTGCACGGGGTTTCGCGAACGCGCAGGCATAAATGTATATCACTGTATACAAACTTATAAAAATAAAATAATAATATTCCTCCGTGGTCGTGCGTCATTGATATGTTAATGTTAATGAAAAATAGTTGTTGCAACTCTTCTTTTTAACATCACTACTCATATATTGCAGAAACCACTAAACCTTTGTAAAAATCTACAATTCAACACTTTCGAAAAACGAAAAAATGAACATTTTCGTTCTTACGATGCAATATTTTCATGCAGCCGCTTACGTGCGAGGATCGTAATTTGTACTGACTATATTCACATACACTATGATCCATATTCTATACGTAGAAAGTAAAAAACACGTAGATGCTGCTACAAAAGATACAAGTAGCTCGAATTATGTACGGTGAAGATTAGAAAGTGTACAATTTCCTTATTAAGGGGACCGTAGTTGTACATATGGAGTGACTGTGCCCCCAAATTTGGGTGCTTCTCCGCTTCTCCCACTTACTCTCGCTGTAGCGCCGGTTTGAAAGTGCAGTACGATTTGACTGCTCATTTTTATGCTTCTATCTTGTGTAGGCTACGGCTTTAGACACGTGTTTTTTACTTTCCATTTAATATATCATAGTGTGCAGTGCATAGTCAGTACACGAGAAGACGCCGCCGCGTGGACAGCTGAAAATATCGCATCGTTTTCAGTTAGTGATTTTCTTTAAAAAATTCAAAAATATCTTAAACAATAACTATAGTGTGTTCTATCAGTGAGTGCACAGAAAGATGCAGAACGATAACGAAGGCGTGGATCATCTTAACCGACAAAAAATAAAAAGATTACGAAAAGAGGTAGATTGGGAGATCGAAAAAGACCGACATGGACTTCTCGATCGACTTTATCCCTTGGCCGAAAATTGGGAGGGCGACTACGCAGATTTCCTAGACATTTTTCGACGACCAGAAATCCATCGGCTCCTCACGGATTCCATAGATTATTGGGGTAAAGACGAATCTGATAATAGATTAGTAGCATTCATCACGTTTGTTATTCTCACCGGCTTCGAGGACGAGCCTGTAATTGATAAAGAAGGAAAGCCACTGTTGCATCGCACCACTGCAGTGCACGTGGCAGCTCGACGCAGAATCGATAGCGGAATATATAATCAAGACGATCAGTCGGATATGGTGATCTATACACTTTTCTCAATATACAACAAATTCGATGTGAATTACATCGACGAAAGTGGCCTGTCGCATTTTCATGTGGCCTGCTTGGCTGGCTGTGAGTCAGTCGTCGAGAAATTTCTCGAGTTCGGCCAGGATCCCAATTTTCTCTGGCGAGAAAAAGATTATTCGCCTCTGCACTTGACTGTAGGCCAATGGGCGCGTTATCGTTGGAGTCACAAGGACATATTTCAATCGCTGTTGAAAAATGGCGCGAATCCAAATATAATCGATAGAGAGGGACAGACACCCCTGCATATTGCAGCCACCAAAATCCTTCCTCGTAGTAGGGGGAAACGCTTTATGGAGATGATTTTCGAGTTCTGCCACGACAAGTATCGTCCGGTGCAGGTTGATGCCGGGATCCAGCTGGGATGTACGCCATTGCACTTGGCACTGCTAGTCAATAACAAAAAGGCGATCAAATTTTTGCTGAAAAACGGTGCTGATCCAGATGCGAGCAATGAGTTTGGAAGTACACCTTTACACAATTTTTGCTGCTCTCTTTTTCATCGCTGCGATGTTTCCTCGCTGAAGCTATTCTACGAGATCAACGACAAGTACCAGCGGACGGTGCATGTCAACGCCGTGGACAATAAGGGACGAACACCTCTTCAATTGGCTGTGGAATATCTTTTTATCGATGCGGTCGATGTATTCTTGGATCGTGGTGCTGATTTGTCCAATTTCGTTTTCCCTTTTGATACAATTGTGAAACAAACTCTTTTTAATGAATCATTATGTCATTATAAAATTAGACACGCGTCTAGTATTTTGGTCATCGTTGAAAGTCTAGAGAGAAGAGGATATCATTTGGACCGAAACGACGCCCTAATGGTCATGAAATTTTTTGCTGATTACAAATTGTTCGAAAAATCATCGAATCTTGTTCAACTTTTGCACCCGGAAAAATATTGGTATGACGACGAAGATTTCACTAGCATGGCCAAAAAGATTGAGATAAATCCGAGCCTGTCACTCCACGACCTGGTTCTGTTACAACCAAAACAAGCAGCGAAACAGCTGACATTAAGAAACTACTGCGAGTTTGCGTGCTCAAAAAAGTTGCGTGGGCTTCTTAAAATGCATAAAATGGCTTGTGCTTTGCATCTGTGCGAAAAACTATCGAAAAAATTTTTTTGTCGATGGGCACTGGATTCTTTCTTAGAATTGACTCATTATCGACTGCCAATTCTTTGCTGTGAAATGATCATCCAGAACCTGGGGAACGAAGACATATATAATATTTGCTTGGCGGCTACAAGCCTAAAAAAACGTAAAAAAATTACTAAAACAAAGGCGAAATTAAATAATATAAAAAGACAAAGGACCTGTAGAGGCTAGAAATGCTCTGCAATGGTTACAAATATAAAGTTTAAAATTATAAAGGCTTTTTTTGTACTCTTGTTATGAAATTTATAAAAGAAGCAAAAAAAATATTGATTTGTTGTCTATTGGCTCGGCGACTACAAGCCAAAGTCTCTAATGGTGTTAATCATATTTGCCGTAATTTGTATGTTTGGTGTATTAAGTTTTCCATGTTATTCTAATAAATAAACTTATTTTTATTTCACTTTCATTTATTTTTTATAACTTTACTTTTGTTTATTTTTTTTTTTGTGATGTAATTTATAATTTCAGGCTTGAATTCGAATGTCTTGAACTCGAGCGTAGATAGCGATGCTTACTGATAACGATAGAAAAAATAATAATTGATTATTCAAACGTTACTTCTTCGTACTACCTGAGACGGAAGTAGAATTTTCGGCATTTCAGTGAAAGCATGAAGCCTTTTACTCTGAATCCGATAAAGTACGAAAAATAATATGCAGAGTACAGAAAGAAATGACATAGAAAGCTTGATCAGATATTTTTTACCTTTTTTACTATTTTCCATGACAATCGATTAATTCGTTTTTGTAATTAAAATACTCCTATGCACGTAGCAGCTGAAACAGTATTGCATTACTTTACCGATCGTAGGGGGAGCCACGGCACGATGTGTACAGCAGTAATGTCAAACTGCATACTCGTGTTATGTGCTGTGCCGGCGATTCGCAAAAGCGCATGTTACTCATGGACCACAGAAACACGTGTGTTCGGTGCTTCGAATCTTTAAATAACATAAATTTATGATTTTCGTGTAACGAGTGTAAAATTAGAGTGACCGAGTGTCGACGTTTTAGAATTTATTGACGGTAAAGCAAAACAAACCTCGGCGACAAGATGATCGAGTGCCACTATCAACACTGTGACAGAAAATTTGACAAGCCGTGGCGGTTAGATAACCACTTGAAGGATCACTTGACAAAAGTAAGTTTTCGTTATTAAACTGCTAGTTTAGGTCTAATGCAGCTGATCATCCATAATTATTGATTCCTTTGCCAGGAAGAAATCAAATGCACAGAAACAGGTTGTAACAAAATATATCTAGATCTGCGGCAATTGAGCATTCATATGAATAAAGAACATAAGGCTTCAAGGGAAGAAAAAGCAAAACCTCTTCATAAATGTACCCACGATGGCTGCGAAGCAGTATTTTCCAGACCCTGGCGACTAAAGAATCATATGAACCAACATTTAAATTTGGTAAAGTTTGAGTAATTTTTAATCCATGTAAGGTATTATTTTCTAACTATTTTCATTTTACTACAGAAACTTCATAAATGTGATCATGATGGTTGTGATAAAGCATATTCAAGTCGAGAACATTTGAAACGTCATCTTCAGACTCACGCTGCTGTGTCGACCAGTTACCAGTAAGTTTTTAAAATAAATTTATAATTTTTTTTCATATTTTTTAACAAATATGTTCTGTTCTAGATGCCAGATCTGCTCAGTTAATATAAGCACGATGAGTAATTTAAAGCGTCATTACAAACGAGCTCATGCTACAGAAAAAGAATTATTCTGCGAAGAGTGTAATTTGAGTTTTAGAAAAAAGAGTCGCTTTGAAGAACACAAAGCATCTCATAATAATTCCCCAGCTTATGAATGTGAGAAATGTGGAAAGAAATTCATGATTCATCAAAGATATACAAGACATTTAGAAACTCATGAAAACAACAATTCTAAAAGTTATAAATGTCTGTTTGACACATGTGATAAAGTTTTTCCAAAATGGAGTTTAATGTTAAAACACAGAACAGAAGAACATTCTGGTAAATATAAAAATTAATTCATAAAGCTCATTATATTCCATTAGCTCATCACTGAACTTTTTTTTTCAGGGTTTAAATGTGAAAAATGTGATAAAGAATTTAAGAGTTGGGCATACCTATTAAATCATCAAAAAGTGCATTTAGAAGAAAGAAAAGTAATATCTTGTCCTTATCCAAACTGCAATCGCATTTACTATTACAAAAAAAATTTGACTTCACACATACGAGTAAAACATGAGGGTGAAGCGTTTACTTGTGATATTTGTGGAAGAAAATTGAAAAGTAAACTGGGGATTAAAAATCACATTATGAATATCCATATGAAAGAACCAAAAAGTAAAAAAAAGAGAAAACCTCAAGCTCCTCGGAAAGATATTGGACAACCTGCGCAATCAATGTTAACTAAATTAATAGGTATCAAATTGTCTGTAACAGCTGAAAAACAGCTTATGCTAAGGGATCCTGTTGCATTGCAAAGAGATTTGCAAGATGAAAACCTTTCTTTTTCTGAAGAAGAGAAAGTTGTCTCTGACAATGGCGTTGCTTAGCATATGCTTAGTACAATTTTATTGAATGCCTATTTAGTTTCTAAAATCGTATTTCATGATAAGTTGAATATAATATAATTTTTTTAAAATATCTTCTGAGTTTCTTAGCAATTTTCAAATTCTGGCTTGAATTCTGGAAGTAGATAAACTAATAAAAATAGAAAAATAGTTGATGACTATATGTCTTAACTTGTTTACAAAATTTGTATTGAACGTTTTTACTATTATAAAAAGTGACATTAGTGAAAAAGTTGATTGTTATTAAATTTTGTGTTAAAAAAATGTCAAAGAAGAGATAAGTAAATATTTTATTAAAAAAATATTTATTTTTCTTTCTAAGTGTATTTACATGTACTATGAAATTCTCAATTTTTTCTACTCACAGCGAGTAGCAAAGAACGAGTATTTTTTTTAATCGAAATAGACTTTCAATAATCTACCAATTGTTAAATACTTGTTAAACATGACATTTCATATAATTTTTATAGAAAAAAATTGTTCCTTCGACCAAATAGACAATAACAAATTTATACCGAAGTTCAATTTATTCGTACATTCCTCGCACAAAAATAATATATTACTCAAGTATACAGCTTACTCGTGACAAAAAAGGTAAATATTTATCCATTATAACAAGACGGGGGCTCTCCGCTGCGGAATGATTAACGATGTATTTGCGGATTACGTCCCGGTAATGCACGAGTATCGAGTCTTAACTTTGAGTATTTTGGGACTAATCCTCGCCGTATGCTGCGAGTCTCACCCTCTTCCCCCTTTCGCGTGGCATCGCGCGCTTCAGACTCGCTCTTTCTAATTGTTTATCGCGGAAAAATGCTCTGTAAAATGGAAAATTAAGGTAAAGTTAAAGTTGACTCGTTTCGCTCGATCATCGGGCTTCGGATAGCGCAAAAGAAAAGAAGCCAAGTACCTTTGCATTTTTTACCATATATATACCAGCGCTCGTATTTATATCGTCCCCAGCCACGGCCTATACCTATTAAAACATGCTAAAGGGACGTAGCTATTTTCACGAAGCGGCAGCAGAGGCGTGTACTCGTCGTCGCGCGCATGTAGTTACTATACGTTATACAATATACAGGGATGAGCTTACGGCTCATCCCCCGTGGGTGCGATAAATCAATTCACCCCCGCGGCGGCGGACGCAACACTACAGTGAGAGAGATAGTCTCGCGTTGCGCTCAAAGAGAGAGAGAGAGTAGCAGGTGGCCGCAAAAGACATTCTCTTCGAGGCTCACGTAGTAGGTAGTATAAGTAGTAGATAGCTATAGGGTTCCCGTGTGCTAATTCCCAATTAAACGATGTAACCGGCAGCAGAGCCTCGTAGCTCGGGTACGCGTGTGTTTATTCTTCCGATCAATTTTTTAATGGTTAATTATTATTATCGTCAACCCAGCGACGATATTTTTCAATAAACTAATTGCCCGTGGATGCTTCATACAATGATAGTTTCACACCTCGAGCGAGAGATTTTTTTTTTCCTCTTTTCGATTATCCACGCTTATTACAAAGAAGTTACACCGTGTACTTCGAGCCCGTATTACATAAGGGTAAGAAAAAAAAAAGCGTCGAAATAGATCGAGCTTAATCTCGACAAAGGGCGAATTTCACGGCTCGTCGAATCGAATCTATTCCTCGAGTAAGGGAGAAAAGCGATATACTCGGCCAATACTATAACTTTGGCGCGCGCGTGACGACGACTCGAGAGTTCGATCTTCGCGTTTGCGTAAAATTTACGGATTATTTTCGTTTCTTCTTTGATGCGGGGAAAGGGAGACAAATGAGTACGAATTGAAATTTCACGTCTATTTTTTGTCTATAAATGTACGAAGACGACGATGGGATGATGGCTTCGCAGTCATCGGTATATTATTTCGTCGAATTTATTGCGTTCATCATTGCGTAGCTGGTCGAACTTTTCCGTAGTTGAACCATGACCATTAGGTAGGTGGTTATCGTCGCAGTCATCTTGAATAAATGAAGAAAACAAAAATTATTACTCAGTTAAAAAGTAAACAAAGATTAAAGATGTCGTTCTTACTCCCTGCACCAGAGTGAAATCTATAGTGAGAAAGCCGCAGGCGGTAAACTTCAAGGGCTGCTGGATCATTTGGATGTTGAAGTCGCGAATCTTGAATGCAATATTTTTTTTTTCGCTCATTTTCTCCCGTTATAATCGATTTTTATAATTGAGAATTGCGCAGAGTTCGATTGCGAGCTACTCACCTCGGCCTGAGTTTCGAGTTGAATGACTGGATCGTCGTAAAATTTGTTCACTATGTCACCGATGGTGACGGACTGCAATATACGCATATTATTCGTAAAATGAATGTGTTATTTCCTTGGTATAAATATCCAACATTATAGAATTTTTTTTTCGAAAACATCCATTTGACTTATATACAATTATTTCGACGTTACCACTTGCAGATTTACAGTTAATTGCATTCGCCATCTAGCGGCGAAGACTTGAATAATCGTATTCCAAGTGGTTGAAAACTGATTCAAATTTTTTCAAACAATTAAATCGTCATTTTTAAATAATTTAAAGTGCGCGTCAACTTAATTGTAACACAATTGTAATCGAAAGGTCGCTTTTTGTTAATTAGTCCTTTATTCATGTCGAGCGTTTCTACCAGTGCTATCCACTTATCCAAAACTCGATTTTTTTTTTTTATAATATCCTACCTGCTCGACGCAACGCGTGCAAACGCAACTGAAGCATCGAATCTTCAACGTGTAATAGGCGATCCAGATGGCGCCCCCGATGATGGACTTCATCATTATCTGCCTGGGCAGATGAAGCTCGACGAGCACCAAGTAATTCACGTACATGTTGCCGGTGATGATGGCGAACGCAACGACCGAGGACAGGATGATCTGCAAGCCGTAGGATCTGTCGGCCTCTTGGCATATGTTTACCAGTGCCAAGTGGATTTTCCTTGAAAAAAAAAAGATAATGGGATAAGAATGCAAGAGCAGCTCGCGAATATCATACTTAGCCAGTTTGATGTTGTTCCACTGGTCTTTCTTGGCGCTCTCCGAGATGTTCATGTTCCACTTGGTGTACTTCTCCTCGAAGGATCGCTTGCTCCTGTCGGAGCGACGGAACTCGTTGGACTCGGACAGCATGTTCTCCAGCAGATCGTTCAGGTTCCGGAATCGATAGGTCACGCAGCTGCGCGTCGAATTGCGCCGAAAGATTACATTTTTAATCGCAACAGCAACAAAATAATAATAAAGGACGTAATAAATACTCGCTTGACGATATTGATGAAGGTCGTGTCGGCGACGAACATGAGCATCACCGGATACGAGAGCACGACGGAGACGAGCACTCGGGTGCGCGACGGCGTGTCCTCCTCGTAGAACAGGTACGAGCTCAGGATCATGATGAAGAGCACCATGGCGAGGCGCGCCACGATCTCGAGCATCCGGCAGGGCGCGACCCTCGAGTAATTCTTCGACGTGGCCTCGAAGCGATCCATCAGGCTGTCCGTCGCGGCCAGGTTCAGGATGCACGCGCGCATTCCCTCGCTTCGCAGCCAGCCCAGGACGATCGTGCTGACGGTCAGCACGATGTGCGAGTAGAAGAGGATCGTCGTCGGCAGCAGCATCTCCGCCGGGAAGCAGTGGGCCAGCTCGGGGGCGGCCAGCACGGCCAGGGTGCAGTAGACCACGAGGCAGCCGCCCGAGTAGCCGAAGCTCAGCCAGGGACGGGGTCGGCCCATCGGGTACTCGATCACACCGATGCCGCACAGCCAGTTCACCAGGTAGGTCAGGTACAGGGGCTTCTCCACCGCGGTGCGCGGCAGCAGTCGCATTTTTTTTCCTTTTTACTCTTTTCGATGGAACCAAGATAACGACGACGAAGAAAGCTCGAGTAGCCGCGCGATACGCGTAGTGGCATGATCGCGTCGACGACGAGCAGCGACCGTGCATGCCATAATATCTGCTGGATGGCCACTGCGCGGAATGACTCGACAAGCCACTGTATAGTTGCCGTAATTTATCAATTAATATTGCATATAGCTTTCATTAAAATAATTACGCGCCCTTTTCATATATTTTCATCGTGTATCGAGCTAATTTATGTACATCAGGCACTCAACGCGATTAATTGTCCTTTGTATCGTACGATCGAAACGCGATGTCGATTCGCTGATATCGATGCTACTACTACTACCGCTGCATTACTTGGAATGCATTTCAGCCGCGGCGTTCACGTCGGCGTTTATGGCTTGCGTGATTATAATCAAGAAAGTGGTGGTCTCGCAGATGATCTACGCAGAGGAAAATTTTTGCAAAAAATATTTTTCTCGTGACTTTGCAGGGTTGAATATTGCAATGACTCACGTCTTTGATCAAACTGCAATCCATTCGGAAGCCGTAGCAGACCAGGGCGAGGGGATTTTCGGAAAGATACACGTTGAAGAGTTCGATCTGAAACGAATCATTTCGTTAGTTCCATTAAAGAGATAACGAAATGTAATGATATATTTCGTGATTACCTCGGCCTTTGTAGTTTCACTGATGAACGGCTCGTCGTAGATCCTCGACGCGTAGTCGCCCGTTTTCTGAAACTTAAATATGAAAATTGAATTCCAACTATATCGAGCGCGATATCTATATGAGTACCTCGGCGTTAACCAAATCGGCAGCACAAATCACGACGAAAGTATTGATGATCGGGATGAGTTTTGCCGTCGCTTTTAGATAAGATATATTACTCGTATCACCGTTGTACAGACATTTGAAAATCAACTCGTAACCGACGACGATGAACGTCGCATAAGTATCGATTATTTTCTTTAACACGAATAAGTCGTATACCTTCATGATTCCTCGGCAACTTTTTGCTAGACTCATGTGGATGTATCTGTGAATGAATAATTGTAACTAGCTACGACAGAGAAGTATACTGAAAATAATACGATTATCGATACTTGGCTGATTTTATGTAATGAGAATAATCCTTTTGAGTGCACTTCAAATATCTTATGGTCGATGATTCCTCTGTATAGTATTTCAATTCATCCGCTCGCATTTCCTGTCTCGATTGATTTGAAATTTCGTCGGACAAGTTTTCGAGCGAGGCATTCAGATGATAAAATTTGTATCTTATGTGACTGGAAGATTTCCGATTTTTAATGAAATAGTCATTTTCTCGTTTGGGTGTATTTTAATGAACTCACTTCAACATATAGACCAATGAGAAAATCCCACACCAGAGCGTAAGGGTCGAATAGACCACGATAAAAATCGAGCTCTCATGTAGAGCACCATAGATCTCGTACATATTAAAAAACGATATAAATAATAAGACACAAGGTACCGGCACCATAAAAACGATGAGTTTGAAAATGCTCATTCTGAATTTTACTGAAAAGTCTTTGACCGGCGGCATTCCTTTCATTACCATATTTGCCTTTTCTATGTTGAGGATGCATTTAACCCATCTCTATAAGCATAAACAAATGTTAGATTCTCGTAGAATTCGATTAACTTTTCACTTACTTTCGAGTTTCTCCATCCTGAGGATAAAAGCAATGCCACTGAAATGAGGTTTGGAGAGATCCATATTATTAGGTCTAGCACTTGGTAAGGTTTATCTTCAAACAGATGTGCATAAAAGCTGGTGCTATCGTAAAATAAATAAAGGAAAGTTATCATGAGTAACATCGTATAAATAAAGCTTGGTAAACGATATGCTTTTCCAACGGGATACTGTAAAGGTCCAATGCCTAAAATTGAGTTCATAATTAAAATCGGTATGTAGGAATTCCCGATAGTCGAAGCCATAATGCTTAATATTCTGAAGCGCACTCTGTACTATTTAAAAAAAATTCATTTGCCGAAACAAATCCTTTTTTCAAAAGGAATATATTTCTTCGTAAATAAATTACAATACCAATAATCAATATGATGGCGTAGTAAAAATTTTAGATGAAGTCAAGATAATATTGAGACTGTTAAGTTTCATTTATTTAACTTCCTTAAAAAAACAACAACATTTTATAATTTCAAATTGGCATAATTATCATAAAATTTTTTTATGTAGAGTTCAGTAAGGTTTGCTGGAATAATCATTTTCGAAGATAATCTTTCTACCATACCCTGATTTTGTAATAAAATTATCAAAAATGTGATGGTGTTTGAAGCAAACTGTAAAAATTTAAAAAAAATTAATTTAAATTATATATATTATCAAAATATAAGGAAAAGGGCGAACTTACCTCTCGAAAACAATAAAAATTTAATGAATATAGATTAAGAATTGTAACAACTAATGGATGCTGTGAAATTTGCAAGTATAGTTGCTGTATCTGTGGAATTAAATTTAAATTAATGTCAATGAATATTTATACTCCAGCCCAAAACTCACCTCTAAAGCAATACTCGAATGACAAAACCGAATTTTATGAGCGATTTCGCTGGTTTTTTCAGACTTTAAATTATTACAAATAAACAACGTGCATTTGATTTAAAAACCATTATTATTTTTTTAGAATATATTGACCTGTTTAGACATACCTTATAAATGATACTCGAACCTAGATACATCAGGTACATGATTTTACAATAAGAAAAAAACAACTCCAGTAGCAATCCAAAAAGCATCCGGGCTATCATTGATGCAGGAAGTCCAGAATCATCTAATGTTATATACACCGTATGAGATGTACCAATCACATTGAAGAATAAGAGGATATTTGTCAACAAAATTGGTACTTCATAAATGTTGTTGAGTTTTCGCGCAGTCATGCATAATTCTAAATGCACTTGTCTATGAGAAAAAAAATATTTTCTTTACTTGTAAATTAAATCTCAATTCATAAAAGCTCGATTTAAATTTTTTGAATTAGTCTTACGGACCTAATAGTAGACAGAAAAAATTTTATATCGACAACGTTTTTAAATTTACTCGGAAAATCGATTTCAACTTCACTTGCTTCATGTTTTTCTTCAAAGAATAATTCAATTTCTTTAACATTATCTTGTAAGAAATTATTTATACGGTCGAATCTTGAAGTGATCATTCTATTTATAAAGTAACGTGTTGTTTTAGTAAAATTTCATTGAAACTTGAATAAACTTAGTAATTGATACAAACATTAACAAAAATGCATGATCTTACAAAATAAAGTATGAATTACTTACGATAATTTCACAAATATATTCAAATCATTGGCTAACGTGAAACTTGCTGAAGCGATGATAATGAAAGCTTCGGTAAGAGCTTCTTTAGTATCGTGCAATAATGTATAGCGTTCAAAAATAATGACAATTACGAAGGATAGGCTGTAAATACTCCAAAAGAAAAAAATACGTAAGTTGTGGTGGTAAGTTTTCTCGTAATCCGAAGATATTCCAGAATCATATAATATACGATCGATTGAAGAGATTTTAGCCATATATAACGTGAGGCTCTGCATGAAAAATCAAAGACTCGTGTTTAATAAATAATGGTAACTGTACTGTAAAAATATTTACCTTCTGTTTAAAGTACGTGACAAGAGCTGTGAAAAATCTAAAAATGACTGATAGATATAAAAAAAATAAAAAAAATACTCCCGTAGACGATGTAAAAATTATTTTGTTTGTAAATGTCTTAAAAACGTCCACTGTTACATAAAATTGAATAAAATGGTGCCCAAAAATATATAGAAAGCTAAAGTTAAACCACGGATGTTTCGTAGAATTTTCAAAAACTGAGATCCCCGAGATTCTGTTAAACCACATAATAGGTTTGAGCGATTCTTCAAGAGTGCTTATTTTTCGTTTAAAAAAATTATGAAATTTATTATTATTAAAACACATTGTTGAAAACTTTTAAAAATTTGATTTAAAATTTATAAATATGTTTAGTTGTACAAATGAGCTTTTCACGAATTTCCACGTTCTGATTGGTACTTTTGTACCACGAGCTCGAAACGATGAGTATTTTTTTATCGCAAATCTTTTTCACGCATGAGCTATTATTATGAGAAATAGGTCTTGCGCAGTTACAGAAAAAATAATTTTTTTTCAAAAATTTCTCTCTAATTGACGTATAATATAGACAATCTTTTTCTAGTTGAAAAATAAACCTTTATTCTGAATGATAAATGAAATGAATAATTTTTTCTACAATTCAATTATGTTATGTTAACTATTTATAATTTTGCACTACATTAGTATAGCGTAATAACATTATACTCGAATTTGAGCTAAAAGAATGACGAATGTAAATACCATCCCAAATATCTAAAAACATATATCAAGCTCAATGATCAAACTAAGCTTTAATCAAAAGAGAAAAGGATATGTTCAAGTTACCTTTTTAATTAAAAAGAGGTTCAGATGGAAGACTCCAGCAGCATGTAGTTCTAATTTATTTTCTATCAATTCCATGATAAAATATTTCATCTAGAATAAATAGATACCGAATTTGAGTTTTTATTAAATCTTTGAAAATTCACATAATCAAAAAGAATACTTCGATTTTTGTATCTTCAGTTATCATGGGTTCCTCGTAAAGTTCACATATAATACGTCCAGATTGCATCGACTGCTTGTATTATGAAAAGTTTTTTTTATTAAAGTGTATTAACTTCGATTACTTTTATTTAACAAAAAGCCATTTGATTGTGTATGCTTACGATGTTCTGTAATTTTGAGCAAAACCAACTTTTCAAATAAATATTTACAAAATAAAATATCGTCCAAAGTACGTATCTCCATAATTCGTTCACTGAAGCGTTCCTAGCATTAGGAGAAATGAAAAAAAGTAAAATGGTAAAAGTACAAGATACCACCATGACATGGGTAAATATAATTGATAATAACAGATGAATTCCGTAAGCGCTATTAGCTTTTCGACAAAGTTCTATCAGACTACTCCGTATTAATCTGCAAAATTATTCAAATACAAATTGAAAAAATTTCCTCGAATTGAAATGATAGTAAAAAATAGTTTGTCTCTACAATTTACCTAGCGCTTTTCATTAAAAACACGTAGTCTCTTGTCTCCGTTTGCGAATCATCGGTTTCTAAAACACCACCGTCTTTACGAAAACGTATCCAATAACGAGGATTATCATCATCTTTATTGGTAAGTAATAATTTCATTATGCTATTGAGTTTTTTGAGTTTAAAGTAGGCGTAACTAAACGTAAGAAATTTCATTTTAAAATATGCAGAGGATAAAATATTGTTGCTCTTAATTTAAAATAAATCAAAATTAATAACTACCCGAGTATATTTAAAAAAGTCGAATCCGCAACAATCATTATAATTACGGGATAGTTTTTAAAGGCAATTATTGATACTTGTGTTCCAATATCTTTCCAGATGAGTATTCCATTGATGAAAATTATTAATAAAGTGAGTAAGAATAACGCTACAAATTTTGAAAGAATTTTTCGTAGTATAGTAGAATGATATTTGGGTATTCCTATTTTTTGCAACATAACATTGGCTTCGGATGCTTTAATGATGCACTTTTTCAATCCCTAAAATAAAATTCCTTAATTTTTATAATAATTAAATATAATTTTTTAAGTAATTACATTTATTTGAACCCATCCAGATATTTGAACACTCATCGATATGAAAACCAACATAAAATAACAAACTTTTTCAGTTTCGGGTCTCATACACATTGACCACAATGTAACCAAGTGTGGATATGTTAAATAAATCATGCATCCATGACTTATGATCAGAAAGGAAGAATAAAATATACTTAACAACCGACGCTGTTTTCCAAGTGGGTATTCTATTATACCTATTCCAAAAATCCAATTTATAATTAACATAGGCAAAAACGGCTTCAGCATATTGATGTAAGATTCGTTTATTCTTAAACTTTACAAAAAATATTGAATTTTAAAACTTTTACTTTTACACCGTTGTATGTTGAAACACTACAAGCTATGTTCCATTTAAAAATAGAAAGTAGAATTGAAATTTACAAATCACTGGAACATTGAATATTATAGCACCTTTTTTTCTATTATCATTTATTTGTTTTTTCCTGTTATGTTTTACCAACAGACAAGAGAGTTGGGAGTAATAAGAATAATTACGGTAGTAAACCATTTTTTACGGAGCAGTTGTCGATAATGTACTGTTATCATCTATAGAACTGACCAAAACATTGGCTGCCCTAATCATATCAGGCTGATTTTGTATAAGAATCATCCAGTAAGTAGTTACAGATCCTACGAACTTTATTATGGAAAATCAATCTCAAGTCTTTACTTGAATTATCATAAATCAATTTACCCCTCTCACGTATTTGAAGTCCAGAACGATTAAACCGCAAGCTGAAAAAAACAATGGGTGTTGCATTACCTGCAACGAGAGTTGATGAATCTGCAAAAAAATATTTGGTTGCAATAAAATGTACACTTTGATCGTTTTAATTTTCTAAAGGATAAAAGCAAAAGCTTATTACGTCGTCGACGAGTTTGCTTTGAAATTTCGTTACGTGGATCTCGTGAGCTATCTGACTGACTTTATGCGCCTAAAATATTAAATGACTTGTAGTTTCATCGAATCGAATGATTTAAAAAAATTATCCTATTGTTACGTACTTCCGATGACACTTTAACCGTAGTTCGAACGACTTGCAGCATTCTCCATACGATAACTACGATCCAAGCTCCGAGAGAACAGAACAATTGAATTTTTCTCGGCAAAGATACGTTGGGTAAATGGTAGACTAAATAAATACAGTATCCGAATCCGGTCAAAATAAAAAAAGAAGATGCTATTTGCATCGATATTTGTTTACTCAACGTCTGATTGACTTCTCGCGATGTTGTGCACAAATTCAAATGAAGCTGTCTGTTATTTATAATGAAATAGCAATTAAGTGATCGAAATTTTTCGCTGCATATTGGGTAAATTTACCTTGACATTTTTAAAATAATTTCTACATCATACTTGTTTTTGATGTAAGAGCTCGATCGAACGGAGATTTTGTTTTTATTTTTTTTGGTTTTCTTCGGAGACAATAGATCCAGACTTTTTACGTGTTGTAAATCATTTTGCGAGGGGTGAGTTGTAATGTTTTTTATCAGTTCATTTAATTTTTCGAATCTTCTTCCAATAGTTCTGTGGAAAGATTGAATATCAATTTGGCTACTTAAAATTCAATGTCATGGAATTATAATAACTAAATTAAATCATAATTTACCTTATATAGACGATGAAGTTAACTTCAATCATGGAATTAATTTGTAACGGTATTTCAAATGCAACAACCACAGCAAGAGCATGTCCAAGATGATCGAAAATGGCGTAAATGAGTATCAAGTCGCAAGTAAATATAATTATCACCCCAGTCAACCAGGCCAATACCAAGCGTAAATTTTCTTTCAAATCGTCGTAATACACGGGTTCGATTTCAAAGCATTCCAGAGTCGCGTCGATCATACTGACATTTTTAAAGAACTTTTTCGTTTTCTATTTAAAATAGAACGCATATAAATGTATGAGCTTGGCTTGATATAGATACACATTTTCATAAGATTACTTACTTTGTGATTGTATATTCCCAAAATAGTAGTGACGGAAGCTATGACCACGTTGATGTACACGATTATACGAAACATCAACATTACCGAATGATAACTCAGTGGCATGGGTGGTATGAGTAGGAAAGCATACCACAATAAAAAACCGTAAGCCAAGGATCTAATCAAAGCGTAAAAAATACTGAAGAAAAACCAGACTCGACCTATTGGCACTTCAAAGACGGCAAGTCCTAAAATTCTGTTGAGCCAAAGTAAGGGCTGATATGCCTCGACGATATTTTTAATTTCCCTCTTCATTTCGGTGTCTTGCGAGTAAATTATTCAATACGTTTGTGCATCGACATTGTTTTATTATGCCATTGGTCAAAAACTCATTTATTATTTATGTATTCATGCTCGAAACTGAATTATAAAGTTGAAAATTCAATTGTACGTATCGCGCATCGAGCTGGATACTGGTAATGAATGAAACTAGTTGCTTTTAATTAAATAGGATGTGCTGTTTTATTCATTAGTGCGCAGCAGTAAAAATCGATGAGTTATTCATTTATCTAATGAAAAGTGCATTATATGAAGTATTGATAAAAGGTAGCTCCAATTAAAAATATTTCACGAATCTAATTAATTCTAAGGCTTTTTTCCATAAATTTACCTAATGACCATAAATTATAAAATATATTATAATACGCATTTCATTATTTAAAAACGATGATAATTGAAATATACATGAACATAAAGATTAAATTGTATTTTTTAATATAAATTAAAATATTCCTTTCATTAAAATAAAGTTCCATTGACGTGAAGGATTTTATCAGTATGTCTTAATATATTTTTATGAAACTGAGCAAAAGTCAGTAGGAAAAGTAATATTGATCCACAATACTAAATAAAAATATACATATGAATATAGTCACATCAAGGTTTTCCAAGATCGTCTAATTAAAAATGTTTACTTACTTCACGCAAAAAGAAATGATCCATGTTAGTCAAGCCTTTGATGGTTAAAATTATTGGATTCAACATGATTTGCAGTAGCGTTTGATTAATCTGAAGATAATTTTTTAATATTTAAGAAGACTCGATAGATATCGTTACTTGAAGTATTATTTTTCTTACTTCTTTGGATAAAGTATTTGTTTGCAGCGATACTTGAATGGCATGGACTATCTTGTTAGTTTTTCTAGCCTACAATGATAATTTTGATTTGAATATTTGAAATGTTACATTTTTTTATTGGAATCATTCTTACTTTTTTCATAAAATTTTCACTAGATTCCACAACGTAGATTAATTTGAAAATGTAAATTAAAATCCAATAAGAGTGATGAATTAAACGAATACGATTCTTCAATAAATCTAGCCTCTTAATCATAACATACATGTGATAAAAGTACCCTGATACGTGACTGAAAGTGGTTATCAATTGAACTAATATTATAATGCCAAAAATATTGTTAATTTTTTCAGTATTTATAATTAAAGTTAATTGTATCTGCCTATAAAACAAAAGAAAATTCACATCTTTGTTAATTGTCAAATCACTTATTACTTTACATGCTATAAGAACATGGGAATGTATTGGATGTGTACCTTAAAAGATTCCACATAAGCTCACGTTGATTACGATCTTGAATATGATGATTTGATTCTGCAAGTTTCTTCTGATTTTGAAATACATTTTGATAATTATAAAAGTCACTCAAATCAACTCCAGGGAATTCCTTTTTAAATTTTTTCTTCAGTAAAATGTTCAAAATCTTAAATCTTTCTCTAATACACCTAAGAAATTAAGAAACTAGATAATAAATACGAAATAAATTCAAATTTATTGTGTGTTTAGTGAATGTTAGTGATAGACTTACTTTATACTCAAACAAAAATACATTTGGTTTATTGAACTTGAAAAAAATGGAATTATATAGTTGAAAGTAGCACTTATTGATGACAAAACTTTATTCTCTAGCGTTCGTCTAGGAGTGAAAAAGTTTAGTAAAGTATTTGAAACAATTAAAATTACGACGAAACCACTCCAAACTATTATGATTTTAGTATTTTTTCGTCTTGAAAATTTTAGATCATAACCGACCCCAAAATCTTTAAAAATGTTGTCGATACGTTGAATACTATTAAATAGTGTTTTCACTTTCTATTCATAAAAAAAATGGATATTTCATTCAATTTTAATCTTTACTAATGAGCTCTGCGCATACTTACTTTGTCGATATAATATCCAAAAATTATCGAACTTATTACAACAAAAATATCAAAAATATCAATAATTCTATGAGTCAATGTAACCAATGATAAGCGAAGATCGTGCTCGATAAATTTTTCTGAATAATATGCTGACATAAAGTACCAAAATACAAAACTGAAAGAATATAAAATACTCAAAGGAATTCCTAAATATTTTGAATGGATACTCAAAAAGGCGTGCCCAAAAATTTTTGATAAAGTAGATATGGGCAATAGCTCTTGCTCCATTTTTATTATTATTTTATATTTAAATCTATTAATAAAATATTAGAGCTTTCAATTCATACAAAGGAAGCAAAAAGGATACTGAGAAAAGCAAAATACTAGCGTAAAATATCATCGTCTAAATTTTTATGGATGAAAATTGCTGGTAGAGTAATTTTAGTTGTTTACAATCCTGAAATTATCGCACCGTGCCCGTAAAAACTTTGTAAACAAGTGTAACAATGACAGTTTATTATTTTTTAATATTTGTGCTGTTACTAGGACTGATATCTGATAGCGCGTTCCTGAAGAAATGATCAACATTAATAATCGTCTTAGGACAAAATCACTATTTAAACTCTTTTCAAATATATTACTGTTCAATTAGTTTTTTGGCGCATTTTCTGTTTCAATGAACAATTTGATTATTTGAAAAAATTTAGACCAGTTTTCAAGCACTTTAAATATGTTGACACCACTTTAAGCCTCGAGCACTAGATGGCGAGACCTTTAGTTCAGTAAATCTGCAAGCGACAAAGTCAACATATTTGTATAAATCAATGTATAGTCACGGATTTGAAATTGTGTATGAAATTGATAAAATCGAATATTTAATGTTGTTTCCTCGAGCCTTTGTCAAGAGTAAGCATTTTCTCTTTAAAAAATGTGAGTTAAAATTGTCATCCGCTAAATTAAATTTATTCTTAAATCGACCTACAATTGACAAATAACTTTCACATAGGTCGTCATATCGTCTCACGAAACCTCGATCGAGTTCCTCGACGAATCGCTCCCATTGCTCGAAACGTAAGTGCGCAGTAATAGAATTTTAACTATTACCGCTCTACTTGTAACTCGCATGTTATATACAGGTTCGGGCGACGAGCGAAAATTGCATGCGGTCGATTTGCATGCGCCCAATTCTCCCGAGACTAAGCAACCATCCGCAAGCATTTTGTGGACTATAGGCAAAGGGGATCCTCCAAACATATACGGCGCATAGAGAGACGAATAGGCTGTAATTTACGTATGTGGGTATGGATAAAACTCGGCGTGACAACACTTGTAAATTAATGCTCATCCGAGAGGGGGGTCGAGTCGTCGAGGCTATTGTAAATGGAATTCGTCATGATACATTTTTCAATCGTAAAGTTTCACTTCGAATTTCGGGACTCGATCATTGAGATGCGTTAAAGCTGCAGATGATTAAGCAAATAACACGTGTTTTTGAAAGTTTATTTATGCTAGAAAATAAGCTCTATTTCGTACAAAAAAAATATACGACGTCGATTCGTGAGTGCCGAGTAATAAAATTGAGCTCATCGAATAAGGGAGTGCATCAGACTACGATCGCAATGGAACAAGGTGATAGGTACTTGCACGTACGCACACGGGTGCTGCGAGGTCGAATCGATCACTATCCGCGACGATCCGTGAAGTTGCCTTTATTCGCTAATTCCATTCTATTTCACTTAGAGAGAGAGAGAGAGAGTCGAGCCGAGTCGGCGCGTAATCCCCTGGGACGGTCTCTTCTCGTGCTGATCCTTGGATATAACATATGTCCGTCCGCGCGCGCGTATACGCGAGTCGATCGGCCCGTGCACTCGCATCGAATTGAATGATTCCGATTCCGTGTAGGCCTTTTTTTCGTCTCGTTTTCCGCTTCTTTTTTACCAATTTTGCCGGCTGAGATACTTTTTGTACGTAAGGTTAATGGATCGCGTTTTAATCGCATTATACAGAAAGCATAACTACGATCTGTTTGTTTGTTATTATTATTTTTTTATTTCAACTCATTTCTATAGAAGATCGTAAGATTAATAATTATTTTCAGCGTATCATTGTTTTACTTTAATCTTTTGGTTTACATAATTACGGTGAATCATTTTTATGTACATTTTTCTAAAAAAATACGAGCATCGAATTATCACCTCATAATCGTTACTCCGTAATCTTAAAGTTTACAGTCTAATAAAAGCGTTTCCATGCAATAATCATACACTCAACTTAATTTGCAAGTCCTACTAATAAAAAAAATTTTGATTAAGAATACTCTTATTATTTATTATGATACTCTCAGTTATATGCGTTGCAAAACATGAACATGTACTTTTACATTCGTAACATACTTTCGATTGGTCGATAAGATATAACTTTTTGTATATGGCTAATTCGCAAGACGTTATTGTTTGAGACAACTTCACTTTCATCCCTTATCGCGTAAAATGTTCTTTCATCACGCCTCCAGAACGTGATTGAGATAAGCGATGTAACAGATTGCCAGGCGAAGAATTTCGATCTTGGAGAGCTTTTTGTCCGGCGGCAAAGTCGGCAGGAGCTTGCGGAGTTCCGCGAAGGCCAGATTGAACGCCTCGACTCTAACTCTTTCCCTGGCAAATACACGAGATAAATCGTATTATCGAGATATAATCGCATTAGTTATCTGTATTTGCGATCAATTATGAAAATCAGTGTAGTGCTGCTTACCTCGTGGCGTGAGCCGTTCTGTACTTCTGCGTGGCTCTGCGCCGTCGGCGTCTCTCTTCCCTCGAGAGGCTGGCCCCGCTCGTTATTCCGTGAACAATATTGTGCGCGCCGTTTACCATTGCATTTTCTCGATCCCTAAACATACAATTAGTCGGCGTGTGAAATGACGACTTCAAGGTCTTTGTATCACGGGAGATTTTTTTTATTAATTTTGTAGCACTGTACCTTCTTCGGTTTTGAATGCCTAAATTGCAACAGCTCGAAATAGGAAGTAAAACTTCTCTTTCCATTGTGTTATTTCTGGAATAATTTCGTATTTTGTTTATGAATTTTCGAAGATCAATTAGATTTTTCTATAAAACATTACGTATAGAAATAGATTTATTTATTCGATACAATAAAAACTAAAAAGAATTAGTTTTTTCTTTAAAATAAAATTTTCAAATGACAAGATCACTATTTATAATAAGTAGTTCATATTTTAATACAAAATCATACTATTTTTTTTTTAACATTGCAAATACTTGTCAGAAATAAAAATTCGGCGTTACAGTTTCGCGTTGTTCGAAGATATCTGAAATCTTTACGAACCTAAGCAATGATTCAAAGGCAAGTTTATAAAATATTTAAATAGCCGCAATTGCTACCCTCTTCGACTTTTATTCGATTTGATACCTATACGTTTTTACACCCGTTTCGGGGCATAAAAATCTACACTTTCACGAAAACACGTCCCCATGGGGCCTGTAAATTGTCACATTTGTTTCCAAATCAGAAGACTAGTGCTTCCTTCTCTCGTAACATTACACCAAATGCATCATTTATAAAGATTGTGGTTGGCTCTTTTCAAATCAAAGAAAGATAAGGCAGCCGAAAAATTTAAAGTATTACTATCGTAAAAGCAAAAAAAAAACAAATAAATCTTGATTACTACGCTCAAGTTTCAAAACGAAAAATAAATAAATAAAGAATCTAACTGCAAGATAAAGGGGAGTTTTAATAACAGTCGTCACGATTAGAATCTTGAAATATTTGTTTTTATTTTTTGTTATGACGAGCTATAGAATAATAATTAAAAATGCTCCACAATAAATTATCGTGAAAATAAGAAAGTATTTTTTAATGTATCAAAAATATCGTACATGACTCACCAAAATTACTAAAATCAAGAGTTTAATTGGATCATTCGATACAAATTACGCAGTTTAAACGTACTTTAAAATTTCATTTCAAAGAATGTTAATCGCCTTTTAATAAGCGCAGCTTTCAATGTGAGAATTACACTTTTATATAATTTTTATAATTGTCATTTAAATTTAAAATTTATATTTATGAATTTTTATTCTCGTAATGACACCACCTTTATTTCACACCAACTTTTAAGTATTAGTATGTTATGATGCACTTCACTGCCTACATTAATTTCGTAACCGAATGAACGACAACAAAAATACAGAAATATCGATGCACTATTGACGAACTTAAAACTTAGTCTGATAAGAGTTTTGTAGACCTAGAAGACCTTACCTATCGCCGAAGAAGCTGCTTAAAGCTCTCATATATTTGAGGCTCCGCCCCAGAGATGTCACGGACCAATGCAGCATCCGAGTCAGCGCAGATTAAACACGCCCAAAGAGTTAGTCGCCATTCTGTTGAAGAGAAGTACGATATCGACGCGGAGGTACTTTTTTTCGAATCCATCGTCCCTCATTTATAATAAATCATGCTCGGTATTTTTTCATCTTATAATGAAGAATTTATACATGATTATACCAAATTATTTGACTTTTTGTAATCTAGTGAATTATATGGGAGCAGTATTTTATGAGTAACATTTTTTAATCGAATGTAGGAAATCAAATTAAATTAAATAGATCCATTAATTTAATAATTTAAATTAAGGTGCTGTGAACTACACCAAGAGAAATGAAAATGCTGCACTATACACAGGATGCTTTGCCTCGTTCGCGAAATAGATGACCTCACGAACTAAAGCAAAAAAAGCCTGTATCAGGTCAAAAAATGTCAAAAAAACGTTTGTCACAGGCATTTTAATTCGTATAATTGATTCAAATTTAAGGCAGATTTAATGTAAAATCACATATTAAAATCAAAGTATATGATACTAGATTTTATTTAAGATTCTTTTAAATGAAAACTTAGTTGATATAAAAGTACTAATTTATTGTTCACATAACTGCACAAAAAATTCTTGAAAATGAGTTCAAATAATTGCTTTTGAAGCAAAACTGAACATAAAAAGATTTGATTATGAACTCAAATTTATTCTTTTTGATTGAAAATTAATGTTTTTATACCCATTTATTTTGTTCGTAGATTTCTCAAAACTGTATAAAATCTCAATGATAATTAAAGCTAGATTCCGCTACTAGATGGCGAGTACTTTTATCTGCAAGTGGCAAAGTCAGGATAATTGTATAAAGCAATAAGGTTTTGATATGGCTTTCATTTTTCTGACAGGTTTTAATTTAATTGTAATAATTTCGCATAAAAACAAAATATTTTAGCCTGAAGGAAAAAAAATTTCCGAGGCTAATTCAGCGTTGAACCTTTATTTTACAATTGTCTGTCCACTGTAAAGAAAATTACATGAAATTTTAAAGAATATTATGCATCGTATATTTCACCCCTGCATTCTTATATCACTCCCAAAAGAGTTGAATGTTACACGCCGTAAAGTCAAACATTACTATTATTCCTGTGTGGGCTCTCTGCCTCATCAATCTTTGCACCACCGCAATATGCATATGAAAATTGAAAATGAGGTGCCGAAAAGCCAAGATGACAATCGATCACAAAAAAGTATTATGTACACGAGGTCGCGCGCGTGTGTCGTCACGTGCCTCGGCGCCGGAGAGCCAAATTATTCGACTCGGGCTCGAATATCACTTTTGATTGAAGTGGTAGAAACGTGTGCTCGAAACCCTTTTCGACGCGGTAAACAAAACGACGCGGGAATTGCTGCGTGGAAAAATAACGTATCATTAAATGCGCTGGAAGAAGGCGTGATATTGATTTGTCAACCCAGTACTGATTGTTGGTGGTTCGAAGTAATAATTGTAATTATAGAAATTAAAGTTTTAATATGTATGTTTGAACGTGTATATGTTATTTTACGATGTATTAATTTTCGTTGCAATATTTCATGCAAATTATTTTAGCGTGAAAATATTTAAAAGAAAGTACGACTTTTAATTTATATTAAGATGAGTTTTGAAAAATGTATTCATCACTTTATTTCATGCGATTATATAAATTATATTTTTACGTTTTACGATAAAAAACTTATTTCAAGGCTACATTGTTAAAAAATAACTAAGGACTCTGAAAAATAAATAATTTTTAGTTTTAACTTAAAAAAAAATCAATAATCAACATTCCTGTTTGCGAAGCATTACCAGCGCCACAGGATACTTAACGCTCAATCAATATTTAGCGGTAAAATCTGTTGTATCAAGCGTTTCTATTATTGATTTTTCTATGGAGAATGTCAGTAGATGGCGTCTAAGGTTTGATCTTAGTAGGACTTTGTTCTATCTGTGTTATTGTTTTTTGTTACTTTATTAATGATATTAATGAATACAATTAACTACACAAATTCGTACAAATATATTATATGATTAAATAACAATTTTAATTTGCTTTTAATTTACTTAGATCCCCCAAGTTGGACCAAAATCATCACGTAAGTCACTACAATCGTTGTCACCTTTAATTATGGTAAAAAATTATTTTATCAAATTAATAAATTATCCAAATATATTACGAATACTTTACCGCTTGTAATAATGTAAAGTCCAATTGCGCGAAACCATTGACACTGAATTTTATGGGATTTTGTATAATTTTAACTTCCATATCTCTTATCTGAAGAAAATAATTTTTTCATAAAATTCGTTAGATTATTTTAAAAAGTTCAGTGTACCTCGTCTTGGACTTCCTTCGAAACGGAGGGTTCATCGTAGAGTTCAGCAAGAATATCACCTGTAAGTATAGACTATACGAAAAAAATCAAAATAGATGAAAATATAATCGTGAAATTGTAAAAATTATGGTATTTGGAATTTTACTTACCTGTTCAGTGATGTTACTGCAGCGATAACACAATACGAGTATTTTTCCACCGAAGAATATGATCCATATGCAAATTCTTGAGAACACGCGATTGAACTCCACATAAGAGAGGCTTCCAAAGTGAACGATCAATCCGTGAGCGTGATAAATGTTTATGGTCAGATACAAAATGCTTATGACGGACGACATCAAATTGTGCAAACCGTACGCTTTGTCGATTATTCGGCACACCTTGGCCAACTCCAAGTAAGATTTTCTGAAATCGAAGTCGACGTGAATATCGTGACAAAATTCGTGTATGATCGTATCAACAATTCACCTCGTAATCTGAACTATGAACAATTCGTTCTTTGTCATTCTGCTCTCCATGTCGTCTCGGCAGCCGTAGCAATCGTTCAAGTAATTTCTTACGATTTTTTTATGCTGAGGAAAATTTTCCGTACTCGTTAAACAATCTCTCAATATTTTATTCAGCAATACCATGTCGTTCGTCGCGTAACTGGAATCGAAAGATGCATAAGTAAAAGGGTTGGGATCTGAGCAATAATGTTGTTTCTCGTACCTAACGATATTGGAAAAACTGGCATCGGCTACCGACACTATGAAGAACGAATAATTCAAAACGAACCAGAGGATACCCTTCTGAAGCAGCGGCAAATTTTCACTGATCAAAGTCAGAGAGTTGAAGATGCAAATGCCAATGATGAGGGATAAAAATATCGAATATCTTCTCGTTTGTTTCAGAACGAGTTTTTTGTAATCTTTGGAAAAGCCAAGCTTCCCAATCAGATGATCCACTATTACAATGTGCTTGAATATTTTTCTCAAGGCCTAACGATATTTTACGAATCATTGATATGAATAAACAAAAAAAACGGAGTTTACGAGCTTCGCCACTCACCTTGCTGCGTCTGTATCCCAGAAAGAAGCAGACAAAGACGATGAGCATGTTGCAATTGAAGTGACTCTTCATCGTCTTCTTATCGAGCGCGAACTCGAACTCGAAATCGTCGATGTTGGAATAGGTATAGATGCAAAGGAAGCAAAAGGAGAACAGAACGGCGGCGTTGTAAAAGAAGCTGAATATGCGATGCTGCTTGCCGATCGGATACTCGATTATGCCGATTCCCAGTACCCAATTCGTCACGAACATCAGTAAAATCGGCGTCTGTACCGTCTTCAATAGCTTCTCCACCGGGTCCATGTTGAAAAAAAATTATTATCGTATCGTATTGTATCGTTCTCGCATCGACTCGCTTCGAAACAGTAACGATGCTGCACGCGAGCAACAACGTTAAAGCGTTGTCCGTCGTCGGAGCTAATGGCTTGGGTAATTAGTTAAAAAATTTTTCAGACGAAAGCGAGTAAAAAGCAGAGCGCGACACGCGACGCGCTAAGTGAATTTATTTATACGACGCTCGTTCAACGATGACAGCGACGCGCGACGCGTTTTAATTACTTTGAAAAAAACATTTATAATAATAAAAAAATGTATTTGTCATGGAGAGAAGCAATTACTGTCACGAATCCTGGTAAAGTGCGTGAAAACTAATTTGAAATAAAAGTACCAACGTCGCGGCTTGGAAATCAGCGAACGCTTGGACAGATGGCAGCAGCTCGCGGGGTGACGTGCGAAACTTACCGACGCTAACAGTCGATCGATATTCAAATTTTGAAATTCATAGTAATGTTACAAAAACGATCTTTTATTGTAAAAGTTGAATTATTTTATTGAACTATACGAAAATTTAGAAAATATATAAAACAATTCGAGGCTTACCGCGTAAGTACACGACGATACAAAGAGCCCCCTATTTTTTTTTTTTTTTTTTGCTAAAATAATCAACAATACTAAATGCCACTTATATATATACATAATCGCAGGGTCAGAGAGACCTCGTAGTCGTGTGTGAACTTGACAAAAATATTCAACGGATTTATCATTGATCATTATTTGTAAATAAAAACGAAAATATATAAAACTTTCACGACTCGGTGAAGCGATCGAGCATAGTTTTCAGCTGATTGATCTGGTGCTGCGTCGCGTTGGGATGGCCGCCGGCCTCGAGGAACTTCATGAGGGCCTGGCCGCCCTTGATGGCCTCCTGGAGGCTCGGAGTCGAGCCGTCGTCGACGACGTTGTTGTTGTTGTTGTTGTTGTTGAGATTGGCGCTGGCAGCCGAGTCCTTGGAGTTGTCGTCCTCGCGGCTGATCGGCTGCTTGGCTTTCGACTTGTTTTTGGCGCCGGCTTTGGGTCGTTTGCGCTCGACTACCTCGCCCTCCTCGGGCTCGACGAAGGATTCGTCGTCCTCGGAATCCTCCTCCAGTTCCTCGCTATCTTCTTCACCCAGTGACTCCTCTTCCTCTTCCTCCTCTTCTTCTTCTTCTTCCTCCTCCTCCAGCTCTTCCTCGTCCTCCTCTCCGAGTTCTTCCTCCCCGGAATCCACCACTTCTCCTTCCTCTCTCTCGTTCATTTCCGCCTCCATAGCTTCCTCGTCCATCTCCTCTTCCTCGTCGGATTCCGGCAATTCGGCCTTTTTCGATCTCTTGCGGCTCTTCTCGGGCGCGTCCTCCATGGTCTTTCGCTTCTTCGCCTGAGGCTTCGGGCTGTCGTCGGCCGGCAGCTCGCCCTCCTCTAGCTCTCCGGTCTCCTTGTCCTCGGCCTCTGCTGCTGCGGCCTGCTTCTTCGACTTTGACTTGGCCGGCGGCTTGGGTGAAGCAGCGGCACCCGAGACGTTGCCGGCGTTCTTCAGCCAGGTGCGAATCGTCGAGGCGTGAATGTTGAGAATCTTGCCGATCTCCACGGCGCTCTTGCCGTTGGCGGACATGTCGAAGGCCGACTCCTTGACGGCGGCCGAGTAGCGCTGACCGCCGCGCTTGGGCTTGTTGGCACCACCAGCCGACTGCTGCTCGTCCATCGATTGATTCACTTCGCCTTCCATATCGAGATATAGTTATTCAATTGTCGCAATTGGATCTGAATCGAATCGACACACCTCCGCGTTAGATATCGATGCACACACTGGTATTCGAAAAATGTATTTTTAAAGATGTATTTTTAAGGTACTCACGTGATTGTAAAAACGAGATCCGCGCTCAACGACGTCCGTGAAAATTTTCAAATCTACGGGAGCAATCCTTCGCTCGCGCGCACGACAGCTTCTGTCACACCGTGATTCAACGTACCGAGAGACGAGTGTGTGTTTTGCTTGTGTTTATACCGCCGATGTGTACAAACTCGCCGATCGAAACGTATATACACGCGTATATAGCTACAAACACGCGCGGCTCTCTGTCTCTACTGCCTGTATGTTACATTCGACGATAAACAGAAAATTTCGAATGGAAACATTTCGGGGGATATTTAGGAAATTTTGTATTACCTATTCGACAAATAAAATGCTCGTATTTTATTTCTTTCTTACATTTATTTATATTATATACCTTCGATGATGTAAAAATGTTCGAAGGTAATATTTTTGTACGAAACTTCGAATTCGTATTTTACTCAGGGAGACGAAAATTGTATATATGGATTTCCATCTCGGAGAAAATATTTGATAGCTGACGTATTGGGAATGATAAAAAGGATGTTGCGGAGATGCAGAACTACCACTACGCAAGTTGCTCTCGCCACCACCCCCTCCCCCCAGGGAAATAAAAACAAAGGCTCTTATCTCGAAAAACGTGTCGAGTTATTCACGAAATGACCGAAAAAGAAATGTCATCCCGTACGTCCCTTTTGCGAATGGGGAAACGTCGCTGAATTACTCGTATTTTATGAATCACACACTGCTGCCGTGCGCAATGATGAAGCAATTACACAACGACGCGATGTGTCCATATACATTTAATCAGGCCGAAGCTCGACCGGCCGCGTAAAGCTTTCAACGGGATAAAATTTATCAATTATGCAAAATACGTCGTGCGAGCCTCGTGTAAAAGGCTCTCTGTGAACTCTCAAAAAGTGATTAATTCCTCGGTTCCGGGGGAACGATGTCGAAATTGTGTGTACGTGTGTGCTGCTGCACGCAGTCCCTCGGACGATACAACGTCGGTCGGACGCGATCGATCCCCCGTTGTAAAGAGTTAAGCCGATTTGTACCCGAATGCGCATCAGCAGCATGAGTTTAATGAAGCGCAAATTTAAACCATACAGTAAGTACGCACGTGATATATCTTTATAAAATTATCACAATTATCGAATGTTCGACCGATTTCTGAAATTTTATAGAGCGAAAAAATTCGTCGTTGGAGTCGTGGAAATACGTCCTGAAAGAGTATTGCAAAAATACGTCGCTTCACGGTTTCCGCTACATCGTGTCGAAAGACTCCAACATCAGCGAAAGGATCATCTGGTTTTTGGTAAAATAAGAGATTCAGTTGGAATAAGATAAAAATACGCGAGATATTGAAGAATCTTTGTCGCGAGGTCTGCGCAGGTCTGCATCTTCGGACTGGTTTTCGGGATGACGCTGATGCTGCTCATCTGGCAGAGATTCGTGCAGACGCCCACCGTGACCACCATAGAAACCACCACCCATCCGATCTTCAATCTCAACTTTCCCGCCGTGACGATATGCAATTACAACAAGGTGTACAAGCCCCGAGCGATGGAGTTCGGCCGCGAGATGTTCGTGAAATATTGTATATTACATCCAATCCGCGACGCACGAAGTGTACAATTACTTTTTCTCGTCGCAGGAGAAAGAAGGGCCTCAACGACACGGAGGTGCTGAACTTCTTCCTGTCGCTGCCCAAACTCATCAGGCCGGACTTCATACTGTACGACAATCGGCGGGCGATCGACTTTTTGGCCTCGGAGAACGTCACCATCGAGGACATCATGTACAACGTGAGTGTCGTAGATCGATGGATTTACATCGACGTTGCGAGCAATGATATTATATATAAATTATAGATGATGCAGCCCTGCGAGAAGCTTTTGCTGCGATGCGCCTGGGAGGGCAAAATTTACGATTGCAGTAAAATTTTCAAGCCCATCAAGTCGATCGAGGGCTTCTGTTGCGCTTTCAACTATCACGTCGATACTTCGGAAAATTCGATGTAAGTGGAGAGTCTCGTTTAACTCGTCAGTGAGAATTTTTATAATAATAATAGGAAAAATGACTTTCTTTTTTGTTTCTCAAGTTTCGGCGTGAGAGCCTCGAAGAGAAAAGTCAACGTCAATCCGGCGGATAAGAAGAACCTCAGTAGGCAAGAGCCCGGAGTTTTCGAAGTTTTGGTAACTTATATAAACATCAAACTCCTCGAATCGTCCATAATATACAAAAAAATTATTACTCGTCAGAACGTACCCGGCGCGGGTCGAGACGTCGGCCTGTCGGTCGTCCTGGACCTCGAGCACGACTCGTACTTCGGCCCGATCAGGCCGAGCGTCGGCGCCTCGATCCTCGTGCACGACCCCTTCATCTATCCGGAGGTCGAGGTGCTCACGAGCGTCGTCCAGCCGACCCAGGAGACGGCGGTCATTCTCTCCGGCACCAAGATGGAGAGCGCCCCCGACGTCCGCAGTCTCGATCTGACCCGCCGTAATTGCTGGTTCAACGACGAGAGGAGCCTGAGAATCAGCTCGGTCTACAGCTATCAGTCCTGCATCACCGAGTGCCGCATCAGATACATCAGGAATTACTGCAACTGCGTGCCGTTCTACTATCCGAACTATTGTTGAGTTGTTTTTTTTTTTTTTTTTTTTGTATAGTACCGAGTTGTATTTTTGATTCGTGATTTTTTTTTTCAGATCGCGAGAGGATCTGCGATCTATCCGATGTCAATTGTCATACGAAGTATCGAGGTAACTTCGATACAATTAGGAAATTTGAAAATTTGAATCATCTTATTTTTTTTTTTTGTCATTTATGCAGGAGGTCTATCGAACTTGAGATCGATCATTGACTTGGCTGCTCAGAATAACACCCAAGACGTTCCAAAGTGCGAGTGCTTACCCTCCTGCGACGATAATTATTACACGTCCAATAGCGAAAACGCTTTCATGGAAAACGTATCGTTCAACTCGCCGATTCTGTGAGTTTTTCGCGAGTATTTTCGGAGTTTCGACGAACCAAAATATATCGCTAAATGAAAATTAATATTCTCACAGGGAGGGATTGAACGTGAAAAACGTATCGTTAGCTTCGATATATTTTCACGGTATAACGTGCTTGAAGTATAGAAAAGATTCGTGGAAATCGTGGGACGATGTGGTTGGTACGTATTATCAGAGACAAACTTTTAATCTCGCTAACTAAAAGTTAAATTTTTCAGCATCTTTTGGAGGAATTTTTGGCTTGTGCGTCGGAGGTTCTTTCGTGAGTTTGGTGGAATTTTTCTACTTCTTTCTTCATAAAATATTTTATGGCAAGAGTCAGGAGAATACGCCGAATTTGAATAATTTTACGTTGGGCCAAAAAGAATTGAAAATCATAAAAATTGAACCAGTCAAGTACTTGTCCGAATTGAATTGCAAAATAAAGTCCAAGAAAAGTAACACGCCACAGCCATTGAAAATGGAAGCTCATGCGAAGTACAATTTACACGAAGAATTTATAAAACATTTTCAAGGGCAGCCATGATAATATTACAAAATTGTTTCTCTGTGTAATTACAAATATTTACTGTAAAAGTAAACAAGAGTGAAAAAAGCGACAAAAAAGAACTCTTAATTCGAGGAACGAGAATAAACTGCCGTTCAACCGATACTTTATTTACCATGTCATAGGAGCCGAGAATTATATTTACGATTAATCATTTTACACTTATGTCTATAAACGAGTTGTATTTATTATAAAAAATGAAAATAAATACATTTCAGTGTTGAAACTTGAAATAACAATCCCAAGTGTAATACCCGCGGAGAGTCTTGAATTACTCGATAGAAACTCAGTTTCTGCATTAGAGGTCTCTTCGGCAAATTTTATGTTAGGTCCTATTTTTTATGTCGTACCTTAGCACTTCAATTACCGAATTTTTAACTTTTATTTTCTTAAATTTACTTCTACGGTTAATTGTAAACAATGAGGAAAAGAGGCATTATTCCAGTGGCATTATTAACTTTTATAAAATAACTGACATTGATCAGATCAACCATATAAGGCCCAATGGTATGGACATATATCATAATAAAAATAACTAACGGCTCAAGAGGGAATTATGTTTGATATATTGCAACAAGAGTACTTCTACTAGTATTCTGAAAAGAGGTTTCCCACTTGCAGGTGCTACTTTTGAGCGATGCGCCACCTGTCGGTCGGACATGAAGCTCCAAAAGTAGAAATATTTAGTGGAATTGATTTGTTGGACTGAGTTCAGTATTGAAGTAATCTTTCCCGCCTCATTCTCGGGGATTCGTTCGGCGTAGATCAGGGATATGAATAAGATTTTAGCCCCAGTAACTAAAAATTAAATTTTTTAGCATTTTTTGAAGGAAATTTAGATTTTGCGTCGAAGTTTCTTCCATGAGTTAGGGTGGAATTTTTGTACTTCATTCTTCATAAAATATTTTATGGCAAGGCTCAATAGAATATGCCAAATCAAAAGAATTTACTTAGTCCCCAAAAGAATTGAAAATCATAAAAATTGAACCAGTAAAATACTTGTTGGAATTGTACAATAAAGTCCAATTGAAGTAACGCGCTACAACCATTGAAAATGAAAAATCGAAGCGAAGTGCAATCTACATGAGGAATTCAAAAAAATGGGCAAGGGCAGCGATAATAAAAAATTTTTTTCTGTGTAATAACAAATATTTACGCATATATTTATTAACGATCATGTTGCTTGGCTCACATGCATGCAATGTTAGATTGCAAATTTTTTCCACAATAAAGTCTTTTACATCCATCATTACAATTAATAACAAGTTGTACTTTTTCTCTACAATAAACATACTCATAATATGTATGTACACATTAAATCATATACATATCTTATGATTGTTTCGCCGTACACGTGTATTATACTCATGAATTAGTAATGCTATATCGTTTTTTTATCGTAAGTAAATAGGATACGATTTACTTATTGTACCAAAATTTTGCTCAGTATTAGTTTTGTTACAAATACTGGCGACTAGAAATTCATACTACGTACCGAGACAAATTTATCCTGATCACGATCACTAACATCTATGTAAATAATATATGATTATTGAAATGATTTATAGGAGCGTTTAGATATTTATACAGAAATTAATATGTATGAGTTCGTTGATAAATTGAGTAAAAGTAAACATTGGTACAGATATAATCATTTTTCGTTGACTTTATATTATAATTTGCCAGTGAAATTTTATATTGCTCATAAATCACACATCAGATACTTGTTGAAGTTCTTATGACGAATTTATTTAATATGCTCATTTTCAACATTTACGACCTTGAAACAGATCGTTCCTTAGTGTTCATTGGTTAATGTAAATGCTTTGAACTGAAACACATTGATTTTTTCCAACAATATACAAATCTGGACAAATAATCTTGTTTAAACGGTTTTCATTTCATTCATTTTTTGAGCTTTACACGATTTTTAAAGTTAAAGATTTTATTTGTAAATGTTATAAAATTTTCGTGTTTTCACTTGATTTTTGTATAAAAATCTGTAGCAATAATGCATATGCATAAGTACTGTTAGTTTACGCGTGAATTACTTATAAATTCACTGTTTTTTTGTAAAAACTACGATCGTATAGTTTCAGTTTTGATTGCACTTGTAAAATTAGGTCTTGATTTATTTTTATATAAGAACATTTTTGATGTGACATACTCTGTAATGTATGCCTTGTCTGATAGTTTATATTAACTTTTAATAAGCTTAAGAATAAAATATACTTTGAAAGTATAGAAAATGCTGACAAAAAGTTGATCATTAAGTTTTGAGTTCATTACCCTCTCAGCGATATAAATAAGACAATTATTTTGCCAAAGTGACGTATGAAAACTGTGACAAAGATTTAAAAACTAAGATCATATCTTCATCATAATTCAGATCTTTACCATATCTTTAATTGACCCTAAGGATATGACTACCTCTAAAATCTCATTTTTCTGATGCTATATATAGCTGAGTACATTGCATAGCAAATGACAGTATAAAAAAGTTCAATACTGTAAAAACTTCTTAATTTTACATTAATGTTCAATCATAAGAGTTGTATTCGTTTTTGAGAAAATTTAACACATAAATATCGACACCTCCTACTAGATAAATAAAATATCATACTTTTTGTAAGAAACGTCGATATTTGCAGTCAATACAATATCATATTCGAACTTATAAATCATTAAAATTAAAAAGTAAAAATTTCGCACAAATTTAATTTTCTATTTTTTCAATATGGTTTAATGATGCTCTAAGGTGCTCGAATCACTTTCTTCACTCATTAAATTGAAACATCCAAAAGGCACTTCAACAAAATAAGCCTGAATTTTACATTTATAGCAGTATATAAATTATTATATATGCTATTTTTCAATAATTAATGAAATAAATGTTATTAAATTTGGCTAGATAAATTTACTTCGTGCTTCTATTATTTACTATGATTTTTTTTTAAAAATTGACAATTTTTTTCATATGTTTTAAATTTGTATCAGAGTACAAATATATTATGCTGATGTAAGTAAATATATGCTTCATATGATATGAAATTATTAAAGTACAAATAATTTTTTAGTAACTTTTTAGTGCAGCTGCACTCATAAAATTTAAATCTTACAATATCATATTGGTATAAACAAGAAGATATTTTTATGAGCTTCAAATGGTTTTATTTGACATGAACTTTGAGCTTGATATTTTTAATCAGCTCAGCCAAAAGAACACATTAAATATAGTACTCATAAAAATATTATAAGTATTTTATCTAATATTTGATACATTTTAAATCTCAAGCTAACAAACGATTGATTGATGATGCCCAATAAAATTGGCAGTTATTCAATCATGTTGCAGTAACTATAAGTCTTCAATATCAGCAAAGACATTTTTTATAATTAGTTACAAGAAGATTAAAATTAACATACGTTAAAGGCAAGTTTCGTACACACATTTCATAATCGGAATATTTTATAATCCTAAATTACTTGTTAATGAGAACAATTTCAAATTAATATACTATCAATAGGCACATGTACATTTTTAATCATACGTGCAGATCTTGAATATGCACTAATACAAATTTAAATCGAAATGTGTTAATGGCAGAAAATTCGTCCTCGCTCAATTTCGTGAAAATGAATTTTCACCATTACGGATAACTAATTAAACGAACGTAACTAAAACTTTGTTTAATGTTTCAATACCCTCCAAATAGGTCAGAGACATTTTCCGGGGTTTTGAGTACACCAGTGAGGCCACATCGCCTCCGTTTTGACACCTCTGGAGCGCAAAAGTTCTATATGCGAAGACAGTCTCGTGTAAACGTTTTCATCGACATTATAGCCACTGGATGGAATGTCGCTCCTAAAATTAACGATAACTATATTAGTCAAACGAGTTCTCGTGGAAATAATGTTTTATCGTGAAAAATAATTTCATAAAAATTAAAAAGTTATTATAAAAATTACGAATCTTAATTTTAAATAAACAAAAATTAATTTAAAAGCAAATGATTATGCGGGGGAAAAAACTTATGAATGTGAAAAAAGCAAAAAAGTCGCCCAACGTGGGGCTCGAACCCACGACCCTGAGATTAAGAGTCTCATGCTCTACCGACTGAGCTAGCCGGGCCTGTACATAACCGGGCAATGCACACATTCAAGTAGTGAATGACGATAAAAATAGGTGATTGATCGATAAATTTAAAAATTATAAATTTTTAAAAATAATATTGAAAAAAAAATTTTTTAGTGATTTTTAACAAAAAAAAATTAGTAAACAATCAACTTCCAAAAAAAAAGGCCCACTCACCACAGTCGTTCGGCCAGGGCCGACGCCCTGGGCCATAGTCGAGGCCCCAGTGACGCCTGGCCCAGCTGCTCGCTCCAGATGGCGGCCTCGCCACCCACGATCTGGCGCATGTGCTGCTGCGCGTAGTCGCGCCAGGGCCGATGATTGTAGACGGTCTGCCAGGTGCGATACTCGCCGCAGGCGGCCTCGCCCTGCTCGCGCCACTTGCCGAAGCCGCAGTCCAGGTACCAGGCGTCGACGTGCGACAGTATGACCCGGAAGCCGTCCTCGAGTATGTCCGTGGTGTCGGGCCAGTTGCTGCCGCCCCACGACTGGATCACGTGCACCTGCGGATCGAAGTACTGCTGCAGATAGGGCCGCTTGGTGAGCGGCGAGCTCCACAGGATCACGGCCTTGGGCGCCTCGCCGCGATTCGCCCTGATCAGTTTCTATAATAAAAAAGAAAAAACAAAAATCGTAAGTTGTCTGTAGCATGAAAAAAGGCGTCCGATGTAAATAAATAAAGATAACTCACGGAATGCAATTTTCTCTCGAACTCGGCCCAGAGCACGTGATAATCGGTCATGTTCTGCGCCTGCATGACCGCGGTGATGTTGTTGTACTGGGCCCAGCACTCGAGATTGACCTCGTCGCCGCCGAGATGCACGACGTCGCGCACTTCCGTCAGATCCAGCAGCTCTCTGTACAGGCCCTCGAGAATCTTGTAGGTGTTCTCGTTGATAGGATTGAGCTGGCCGCAATTGGGCTCGCCGCAGTAGGCCGTCCAGGGCTGCTGGTCGACGCACAGCGCCAGCTCGCCCAGTCCGTGCTCCAATCCTATAAGTATAAACAAAGATATGAATCGAGTACGTTTTATTGGGTAGAAATAATTGTGTGTATGCTAGATATACACTACTTACCCCACTGCCAGCCAGCACCGGCGTGGGCCGGCGAGTCGATCTCGATGAGTATCCTGACGCCCCGAATCCTGGCGTACAGGGCCAGATCCTTGATGTCTTCGGGCGAGTAGATCTCGTCGCCACTATAGGCGCCCCAGCGGGCCATCTCGGGGAACTGCTGCGAGTCGTAGGGGAAGCTCTGCGAGTCGCTCAGGTGCCAGTGAAGGGTGTTCAGCTTCGAGGCTGCCATACCTGTATAATAATAAAAAAGAAGAAATTAAAAATGATCAGTGTAATTTAAAGTCAAAACGAGACACGGTTGGTAATTTATGCAATCGGAGATTCGATTTTTTTCTCCTTCTCTCGTTTTTTTTAATAATATAAAGTTATTCAGGGTTTTTTGAACTCTGACGTAATATAGCGCGAAATAGAGAAAATTTGCCGTTCCAAAAAGCAATTCACACAAAACGAGGAAGCTGAGGGGATCTTTTGAGGCACTTGATGTCGATGCGGTAAAGAGCTTTGCCGCGCGCGGCAGAAAACTCTCTTTGGTGCTGGTGCTGGTGCTGCTGAGCGCAGCACTACTAACACACACCGAGTGTGCCTGCAGCGCACATAAGACGTCGGCAGAGGAGGCAAATCAATAGGAAATTTTCATTTCAAAGATACACATCGTTGCGAATGTGTAAGTTCCCTCGGTGATATTATTTGGCGCGGCGCAGCGTACTCTATATTATATATATACGTATGCGCTTGAAAAGACCGATTAGTCGCATTAACTTTCTGCGTATAATATTTTATATGAAAAGCAACGCGTTTTAATGTAATATTTATCCGGTAAACGTTCGCGTATTATGTACCGATTTTATCTCTGTAATACGGAGGAGCGTTAAGTTGCCAAGAAAATTCGTTACTCTCTGAAAATCATGGCAAGTTTGTGCGCCGCGTGGCGCAAGTAGCTGCAGCAGCGGCAACGCACAGAGGCATGTGTTGCCTCTCTCTCTACGGAATATTTAAAGGCCCACAAAACCGTAAATGGTACATATAATACACCGATGAATATCCGTTAAATATGTAACGAGCCCGTAGACAATTTTCGTTGTTTATTCTCTTTGCAAAGATAAATAAAATCTGACGCGTCGTTATGCCGAGCTTATTCGAGTTACAAAATAAAACGTATATCATCTCTCATATATTACCATCGATGACGTTCTTGAGCTGCTCGACGGGGAAGAACTGCCGGCCCGTGTCGACGAGCAGTCCGCGATACTCGAAGACGGGCTTGTCGTCGACGATGGCCGACGACAGCACCCTGAGACAACCCTGCTTGCCGCAATTCTCGTCCCACCAGATCATCTGCGAGAGGGTCTCGAGGCCGTGGCGCACCCCGTAGTACGTCCTGCCGACGACGCGCGCCTCCAGATGCTTGCCACGCGTCGCGAGCTGCAGCTCGTACGACTCGTCCGTGGCCAGCGTCAGTTTCGTGTCCTTGGCCGAGGTCACAGTCACCGCGACCACGAAGCTGTCCAGGCTCGATCGGCTCTTGGTGTTGGGTATCTTCATCAAGCTCCTCACGTTTCCTGAAAAAACGAGCGCGTAACGGAATATAGGGTGACGGCACCAATGAATGAATGACCCCCAATGAATGAATGACCAAGAAAAGATTAAAATTAAAATATGAAAGGAAATTTTAACCCATGTCAAAAAATTATTTTTATTTTATTGATGCTTGAAGTTTGAAATACTATGATCAGTTTTAGTTAAACTAGCTTCACTTTTTCACAAAAATTCATATAGAGTCGATAGTGAATGAATGTATTCATTTACTGGGATAATGCGACTTGGCATGGCGCGATACCAGTAAATGAAAAGACAATGTTTTTGTCGTCCCGCCAACGTTTGAGGTTAGGTCGCAGACGATGCATGCAGGGCGCAGTGCGTACATCGTTTAGATTTACGTTAATTATAGGCTAATTTTAACTTAATTTAAACTAGTTATTAATGATGGCTAAAACCGAAACGAACAATAAAAACGTAAAATAAAAACTTTGAAAAAAACTGGACATAATGTCGATAAAACTCTCAACCTGTCAATGCTCTCTCATAATATAATTCATTCATTCACTGGGTCCAGAGTATTCATTAATTGGTTCTTTACCATTCATTCACTGGGGTACCCCATTTTATTGAGTTATATCATTTATAACTTTATGAAATATTATTTTTCATGTATTTCAATTTTTTTATTCATGAAATAAGTCCTAACGAACACAAATTTGAATGCACGCTAGGGATTAATGCAAATTTAGATTTTAAATCAATTGATTATAAGCATAATTTTGTGAATCCATTCATTCACTGGTGCCGCCACCCTAATAGAAAGTCATAAATCTCTCTGGCAAAAAAAAATAAACTCACCCAGAAATACGTCCTTGGCGTTGTCGAGCATGGCGCGCACCTCGGCCGAGTCCGTGTCGACGACGGCGAACTCGATCTGCTGCCAGTGAAAGGCCGAGCTGTCGCGGCCCAGCTCGACCCTGCGACTGGGCTTGGGCCACAGGAGGCGCGAGCTGGCGCTGCCGCACAGGGCTTGACACGTGGACAGTGATATACGCGAGCTGCGGACGGCCCGACGCTCGCATCTTCCGGCCACGCACGCCCACGACCACGGGCTCTGGAACGTTCTGCGGGTGGAGACGACGATGATGATTTATTATTTATGATTTTTCGTGTATTTCATATCCGTGTGTCGTTCGTATATATATATTGTTTTAAATTTCAATGTATATGGATATAATGGAGCCAAAGGGGAGGAGGGCAAACAAAGAGATCTAATAATCAAAACTCAAGCTCGACACGATCAGCAGCGGGGGTAGGTGAGGAGGAGGAAGAGGAGGACATTGAATTCAAGAAGTATCGAACGTTCATTCGATTAATTGCAGCCAGCGTATAGCAGATACTTGGCAGTTAATTAAATGATCTCGCGCGGTGGCCTCTGGGCGCATAATAACTAGTTTCCAATATAGTTAGCTCGGTGCGACGACGACGACGACGACCACGACGACGAAGAGAGACAAATCTATCAAGTGTTCGCGCGCGCGGCCTACTTTAGATATTGAATTCACGAGCTCTTGATTTTCTTGCGGCGTTCGTCGCGGCGAGCGAATTTATAATTATAACATTTGAATAATTCATCGTAATTTAACGCAAAATACGCAGGATTATATATATACGCCGCATCGAAGTTTTGTACATCCGATGTTATGTAATTTCGGGCTGGAGGGTAGAAATTGACGTCGCCCTGTGTATCGATGTTTTCGATGTAAATCCGATTGTGCGCAAAACGTCACGAAAATTTCATCGCTACAGTTAATTTCGTACGAAATAATTTAGAGAAGGATTTATCTCGTACGTCTTTTGAAATACATCAACTAAAAATTATGCTCGCGCTCCGGTATTAAAATGCGAAAATGCATATGTAGTACGAAGTGCTCGGGGAAAAATATGCTACTCTGCGCACCGTTGAACGTCTGGCCTGCTGTCGTGTATTTATTTCTACGCAAAATAATATACGTGATGATATCCACCTCGTGAAAAAAAAACAGTAGAGAACGCAAAACAAAAAAAAAACCAAAAATGTGAGAAGACACAGCACAACACACAACTCAAGCGTGAGAAAGCAACGTGCGAAGGAAACAATAACGATAAATGTATCGAGATCATTGTACATGATGAATGAAGCATATATATGTATGGGATCTTGGCACTAAACTACGTAGTCAAACGTCAAATTTTCAAACGTCGGTATATATCGCATATAATTTTTGTATAGCCTACGCTCTCGGGGACACACGCTAGCGTACACAATTTAAATAGCTGCAAATAATCCACCACGCGCTTCTTTTATATTCGGCCGATCTCGTTTACCTATTGGACTCTTCGTCGGCGTAATTGTAGAGATCGTCGGAGCTTTTGTTGATGATGTTATCGAGGTCGACGTCTGCCGCGTCGTCGTCGTCGTCTGCGTCGCCAACGACCAGAGTAACCATGCGCCTGCGAAGCTCCTTGAAACTGCAAAGTGCGCGGCGAAGTGAAACGAGTGGTTCGCGCGAGATTTTTAACGCTCGCTCCAGGCTGCGTGTGTATATATTTCCACGTAGTAGTAGTAGTAGGTATGTATACACATTTTTTTTTTATATATATATTTATATATGCGAGTGTAGTGTACATACGAATATAGCGGGCATTCGTACGTATTATACGTATGAGAAAATATAAGGGACGGAGAAGTGGTCGTAAGAGGCAGGCGGGCGCGCGCCAAGCGTAAAAGTGTCATCGAGGGCAGCACGAAAGGATGAAAATAAAGAAAAAAAAAAGGGTAAAAGAAAAAAAATTAATGGACTCGCAAACAAAGCTTCGCAATCAGCCAGTAGACACTTTGTTTGCTTATGTAGTCTGCACGCTTATTTTCTATATATATAACGCATATTTTTTTCATTTGCGAGTCGCGCGCGCGCGTACATACACTCTCCGATGTAAACTTTTCAATTTACGCGTCGGGGCTGGCAGGAGAGAGGATTTTGACGTTTGTTCGGGGATTGAATTATGCGGTTATATACATTTTATTTTTTTGCGTAAAAGTGCCCAAGTATTTAAAAGTTGATTAATTTTTTAATTGAAAAAAGGTAAGAAAAATGCGAAACGTGTAACATGCTGAATCAACAATATATTTTCGACACGACAAAGAAGGAATGACTGCTTTTTGGTGGAATGTAAAAATAATAAAAACGTGAGGTTGCACCCCCATACCCAAGAAAAACATTAATTAATTAAATTATATACATTTGAAAGTAAATAGAAACCAACGTGTAAAATTAGCAATTGCGAAACTCCGCAAATATGTATATAGCATACAATACCTTTGTGCCGTGAAAGGCTGTAACGAGGCCAGCGGCGGTGAGCGCGCGAACATCGCTATGACCAGGCACCCGGTGATCAGGACGAGAAACAGGAGAACCCGTCTCATCCAACCGCTAGGTAAGCCACCCACCATCCTTGCAAGTCTGTGAACGATCCAAATTTAACCAAGTGCGATTAATAAAGATATATACTTTATTAGAATAATATAAATTATTTATCAACGATATAAATTATAAGGTACGTTAAAACAGTTGGACTAAAAAAAATCTTTTTTTTTTTTTTGGGCTGCACACAAATTAAGCGAGCAAACTCTTAATCGCCAGAATTCAGAGCTTGTTAAACTCACCGACGAATATACGTCCGCGTTAAACATGCATCAAGCAGCCCCCCGTCGCGGGACTACCGATAAAACTTTATGATGACCCGCGGGACCATTTAACACTTGAAACAAATACTACGTGCGAAGAATTATAATTTTCGCAAGCCGAGCAGAAATTATTAAAGGGAGAGAGAGAGAGAGAAGACCCAAACGAGCCGCGAAGAGCGACGTTAAGTGCGATTCTGACGTTCACGAGGTAAGACACACAGACATACACACACGTATGTCAACGAGAAGGAGAGGGTTAATTTGTTCGAGCAGAAGTTAACCAGTTCGCAAATACCGCCCGCCCAAGACATCATCGCGCGGGCTGAGCTGAGCTGAGCAGCAGCAGCAGTTTACCAAGTAGGGTAAGAGAGCTGCTGCTCGTGTTCCTCTCGGCGCGGCTGCAAAACGAGGATGTACTTTCGGGGGTGGTCTGGGATCCGTTATCGTACATTCGATATAGTCGTGGTGGTAGTTTTTATGTAGAGTAAAAAAAAAAGTCTTCGTTGATCCAAATTAAAACCGTATATTTTCTTTCTCCCCCCTTCTCCCTTCGATTTATTGCTCAAAATTAAAAAACCATCTATATTCATTGAGAGCCGAGAGAGAGAGAGAGAGAGAGAGAGAGATGATCCGAAAAGCTCGCAAACAAATAATTATCAAAGAACAAAAAAAAAAACAGCAGCGCCCAATATATAAGCGGCTTTGCTGCTCGTTTTTTGGTGAACAATCTCTCTCTCTTTAGAGCTGGTTATCGATCGCTCGTAAGCTCTCATGTACGTGTATATAAAATATAACACACAGTCGTCATTCGGCGAAAAATACAAACTTCATTTTTTTGCCGCATACAAAAAATAAAGTTGTATACACACACGCGCGTATATCGAGTATATTATCGCGTTGGGTCGTAGAGAGACAGAGCACACAGAATACAGCGCAGGGCCGAGCCATGGCTGCGGTGCTGCGGTACCGCATTAGAATATAATCGGGTTAACGCGCGTATACGTATATATATACTATACACATAAAAGGCATAGTTGCACACTCATATACAGATTGGTGCAGATATAGAGCGTAAGCGAGCGTGTACCAGGACGCTCAATATCCATGGCCCAAGGATTAGTAGCCGCCGCCGTTGCTACTGCTACTGCACTACTGCTGTTGCCCTGCAAAATTATATGCGCTGTCTAAAAATAGAAAATCGTTCGATCTTCGTGTACGTATACACGGACTCGTATATTCCGTAGGTTTGCGCGGGTAATTTTTTTCTTTTTCCTCTCTTTTTTAGGTATATTCTTACGACTATATGTATGCGTATCGAAAAATGTATACACGCTATTTTTTTTCGAGAATAAGAATGATCGCATTAAAAACTCGGGCGCGCGTGGTTATAAATTGAAAAAGTCTTTATGGCAGAGGGATTGTTTTTTTCAAGCAAGACAAGCTGAGCCGGATCATCGAACGAGCTTAAAATTCACACGCACGAGAGTCGAGAGACAAAAAGCTTGCAAAATTATCACCGGCCAATCGATGTTTACGCGCGCGAGTATTTTTCAATCGGGTAGCGCGCGGGGAGTGTAACTGGGAAAAATTTTTACCCCCCGTTTTTTTTTTCTCAAAAATGAGGAAAATGTATATTGTACCTGGGCACGCATCGATTCACCCGTCACATTTTGCACTGCGATATACAGTACGTATGTATACTATTGCAAAAAAAACAGCGGCAGTAGCAGCAGCGACAGCAAACAAAGAAATAACACATAGCGGCAGGGAGAGAAATATGCGTTATATAGTATCGGTCATTGACGTACGACAAAAGCTCGCCTCTGCCTCTGGGTTACGTGTGTGTGTGTGCATGTGCATATATATACAGGAACGACACGGCGACGGAGCAGATAGCAGCAGCACGGTATACAATTTTTACCCCGCGCGTTCAAAAAAAAAAAAAAAAAAAAAANGCAGGTGTTTAAAAAAAAAAAAAAAAAAAAAATACATATAAGAATATCTAATACGTCAGATGAAAATCGTGGCCTACACAGCGGTACACAGCGGCACTCATATATACACACACATCAGGTACGTGTACAGTAGATTGAACATAGTAATAGTCGGGCATATATAGGACGCGACTCGCATTCGAGGCTCCTATATATGTACCGTTTTTTTTTTCTTTTTCAACTTTTTTTTTCCCCCCGGTCGACGTTGGGTTTTCATTGATATTCGATATATCGAGGGAGCGAGAGAGCTTGAGGTTTGACCCGAGCTTTCTCTCTCTCTCCCGTGGTTTTCGTTATATTCGCAGGAATGAAATTATAAAGGGCTATACTACGCAACGCAGTAATTGCAATGTTTGTTCTCCGTTATGGGATTTATTGCAAAACTTTCGTCTATGAAAGGATCATAGCCCGTGTATAATTGCGTTATACTCTCTATATCGTGCGCACGTGTATATACCACTGCAACAGCAACAGCAGCAGTGGAGAAGCTTAACGTGCGTATAAGTAAGTATATATAAGCCGCGCGCGCGGTGTTGGATGTACAATTTTTAATTGCGTTACTTTGGCGTATTCAAACGGGAGGGGTGGGGGGGCCAATAACTACCGCAGAGATAACCAACAGGCGGCAACTTTGATTGTAAATTAATAATAATAATGATGATAATAGTAATGTAACCGCGTGTACCACGTCGCGAGAAATTTACGCTCTTCTTCGCTGGGTGTTGGGAAATTTATATATACGTAAGATTTATGATCGACGCACCATAACGATTTATTATTATTTTCAATAATATGATATGGCGAATATAAAAGAGCTGCTGCTGCTGCTGCTGCTGCTGCTGCCGTTAGAGAGTATAACGAGAGAAGTTCGTATACCGAAATTATGATTAAAATAATTAAGACGGGCTGCAGGGAGGAGTTCACGACAAAAGTACTGGAAAAATGTATTATCGATCTCACGGAAGCAATTATTTTTTAATTAGCGAATTTTAAATCATTCATCAAAGTAATATAAATTAAAAATTTTGCACTCCCTCCCCCTCCCGGTAAAAGAAGATACCAAGAAGGACTAACACATTTTCAAGAGAGAGAGAGAGAGGAGAAGTTGCAGGCTTCGCTCGAGTGATTTCCTCTTGAAAAAAAAGGAGAAAAAAAACGAGCGCAAACAGTTTCTGCCAACAGGCAGGCAGACACACACACAAGCAGACACCATCTAAAGTACAATCAAATGCAATCTCGATCGCAATCACACTCGTTATTCATTAGCATATATACGTATAACTATACGGATAAGAGATCTATACTCTGCAAACTTTCACGAGTGTTCGCGTCTAAGATTATTCCAAATGGAGAGGAGAGGAGGGGGGCTAGGGAATAATTATTGCATCGGGACGAGACGACGACGACGAGTCGATCGAATTTATTTTTCACGCTAATAGCGGAGCGATGTTTTTTTTTCTATTAATTGTTTTACTATATAGTTGCTCTCTTATTTTTTTTGTATCGTTTCTGTTTGTTTTTTTCTGGTCAATTTTAATCATAGAATATATTTTAGTACCGTCAATTATTTTCTCGTATCTCCCATCGTCGCACTCGTAACGGATCGTGATTTAAAAAGCTGCAAACTTTCGATGGAAAATTCGCGACCAACCAATCACTTTGCATTCAAAAATATATAGCGAAATATATACCCGTTATAAATGTATGCAATCCATGCAAAGGGGAAGTGAGCTTCGCGTTGGGAGCTTAAAAGATTCATAAAGGAATTTCGCTAATGTCGAAACCGACTCGGTCGTGTCGTCGTCTCTCTACGATCTACATGCGCTTCGCCTCGCCTCGCCTCGCTGCCTTTGTGTCTTCGCGCGCGCGTGTACATGGGCTTGTTTTTATACCGAACAAACCTCATTTTACATGCAAAGGGAGAAAGATCGGTGTCATGGCTCGCTCACTCGATGGCGCTCGGCTTTGATGCTCCTCCTACATGCTATAAGCGCACGAATACCTGTGTGCGAGTGTGTGTATAAGCGCGCGGGCGCCTGTATAAGTTTACGACTTGAAATTTAATCGTTTCGGACTGTGTCTCTCTCTCTCTCTGTGTGCACGAATCCCAGTCGCCCCCCTTATATACCCCGAGCTTAAAAGCTGCGCTGGAATTCTCGTAAACGAGAATAATGGTACTTTGTGGTCGGGAGACAATCAGCGGTTAGGATATAGAGACTTGATTATTCCTCGGCGGCGGCGCGCCACTCAATTCCCTTGCCCCGGTGTAGAAACGTTAGAAGAAAACTTATTTCATTTTCGACCTCCTCGCCCTTCGCGCTTTATCCACCGACTTATATACAATGGATTAATGTACGAGGGACTTTTTGCTTTTCTTACTTCGAACCTGAGGCGTGCATCAAAGTTGTGTAGCCGAATGTATATAAGGATATTTCTTAGGACATGCACTTGGTAGCGCGTCGTTTTTATACGGCATTACTTCACCTGTACTACGTATAGTATATGGCAGCTTATGTTTTATCGTCGGATCCGGTGCTCGCGCGGATCAAAGTGGCTCGGGCTGCATTACAGCACAAACATACGTAGTACAGTAGTGCATCCCCTCAAACGTATACACGCGCGCGCGCAAGAGATATTTTTCAAAAAAATAAAAACAAAAAAAAAGAAGTATCCGTGCTTCAGAAGATCCTGTGTACCGCTGTGTCTGAGGGCCGTGGACCATATCTACTACCGTACACACACACACACTTTTCTCATTGCGCGCGATACATCAGACGTCTCT